CGACTACAGGCTTTCAAGTTATACTACCGTACCTGGATTTGACCTTGATCATGACCTCTTAAGGTCAAAATTAAAGAATGGTCAATACCACATTGGAAAGTAGAATTTCCCGCTCTTTTCATTTACGGGGTTCTATTTAAAAAATAGACTTGGTCACGGTCTAATCCAAAGTCACCATTATTGGATAGCTGGGGAAAACTCGTCAATCGCGGGCCGCAGATTTTTTCTACCCTTATCAGTTGACAAATTATTTATGGGGTTCCGGAACTTTTCACTTATTCGCCCAGTAAAATATTTCAATCTTGTTTTTTCTATACTTTGGTTTATCTTATTCGCTTGTACTAAAGATACAATTATTCCCCACAGTGATATTAGCACCATTTGGCCTAGCTGGCACTTTGACTGGTCAGAGTTTCAAGTCAACGGAAGCCACGGCAAGGCTTTTGGACGATTGGAGCCAGTTCTACCCTTTGGACAAAACCAGCAGTTTGACGGATAGTAGTGTCGTTGAGGTAAGGATACAAATATTAGTCGCTAAAATATGGGATATCGTAGAGCTGGCTGGATAGCGATATTTTATGTACTCTAGACAAGCGGATAATTCAAGGAATCCAGGTAATGTTTGCAAACGTGACTGTACATCTATGACCAAATGGGATTTGACATTCGGACGAATATGACCTGTAGCCTACATTGCGGATCTGATACTATAAGTCATCGCTTGTTCAATAATCGTATTTTTGTCATTTATCTTGATTGATAATCTCCCTATTTAAATAGTTTCCAGTTACCGAAAATCACGTACATGATATAAAAAATAAATTTGGTTTACTGAATGGTAAGATCAGGGTTTCCCAACCTTTTTTTTTTTTTGTTGAGGCTCCCCGGACTATAAATTATATTTTCATGCCCCCATTTACTTTTTCAATAAATACAAAAAAAACGCACATTATATAGGTACAAAGACTTTTATTTTAATTCTAATAAAGAAACTTTAAAAGTTTGAATAAACTAATTTTTTTATCGAAAAACTTGAATAAAATAAGAGTGGGTACTAGTGAGACACTTGACATTGCATTTTCTGTACCAGTTGGTTGATTCTAGGTTCTGTTTTTGCCAGAGCTATCATCAGGTCGCTATCGACATTAAGACGATTTCGCTGTTTAGTTTTAATTAAAACTAGAGCAGAAAAACCTATCTCACATAAGTAAGTTGAAGAAAAAGGAACTAGTATTCGTAAAGCAGCCTTCATTTCTAGAAATTCTTCCTGGACTTCTTCTGGTAATTGTGACACATCGACAACAAATGGATTTCTTGTCATGTGCCATATTGGTGACTCCGAATTGATGTCTCGATAGTATCGGCGAAATTCGTCTTCCAGCGCTTGCAAATGTGTTTTTATGTCAGCTTTTAAATTTGCGTCCAGCATGTTATTTTTAATTGCCGAGAAAAAGATATAACATTTTCAGAAGACACTTTTTGATTCCAAAGTTGAAGCTTTGATATGAACCCCTGAATATAATCATAATTGCTTATTATAGTGCTGTTTCTGCCCTGAAGTTTCAAGTTTAGCTCAATCAAATATGTCAGTTAAAGAAGTCAACCTCCATTGAAATGTGTCATCTTTGAACACTGTCAAGAAATCGTGTTTTTCTTTGAAATCAAGAAAAATAATCTCTTCTTTCAATTCATAAAGGCTTGCCTTTGGACAACCAGCGTACTTCTGTATGGAACAGAAAAACTTTGTGATCAGAATCGAGATCCTCGCAAAGTAAAGTAAATATCCGACTGTTCAAAACGCTGCCCTTGATGTAGTTTACAATCCTTATAGCCGAGTCCAAAGTCTGGCGTAATTTCTGTGGCAATGTTTTGGAAGCAAAACTTTGCCGATGAATAAAACAATGGGTGATATGCATAAAGGCGAGTGGCTACTTTTGACTCGCATTTTTAAAGTAGCCACTCCATCTGATATGCATAAAAATGTAAGTAGAAGCTCACACTCATAAGTTCCTACTCTTTCCGTGAGGCTGTACTCGCTCCTTGAGTGCCGACTTTAATTTTTATATGCATAAAAGCGAGCGTCCACTTCGACCGCTGAGTACATACTTAAAGAAATGCGAGATACCTTAGTAGTAGACTCAGCTTTATAAGAAGTGGATGTCTTCACGAAATGGCCGAATTTATGCCTATTTATCAGCCTATGAAGGTGTTTAAAGATCGTAGTGAATCAAGAGAAGTAGACTATCGGGCCTTATATCGATTTAGTAAAGTTAAAATAAGTAAGTTAATTAAGTAACCAGTTTTTATGTTTTGAATCTTCTTCCAAACCTGCCCTTCATTATATTTAACTCCTAATTCGGCTTCTACCTTTTCTTTTATTTCTTCAACCGCCTGACGCCGTTTATTTTTGATTTCCGGGATGTTTAATTATATTAACAAATACTGTTTGATTTTCAGATAAATGGCCTTCAGAATAGGTTGAAATCATGTAAATGAACAAATAATAATCGACCTAAACACCACCGACACAAACGTTTACCGGTATACAGTAGTAATTGTTCGCAATAGAGAAATTGCCAATTCGGCGAGACAACAAAATACAAGTCGGAACTCGAAAACCAGAGTGCCTACTCAAGTATTTCATTAGAACTTGAGTAGCCTCTCCGTTTCTCGATAAATATTTTATGCATATCAAAACCGAGTAGGCTCTCCCTAACAGGAGTAGTTACTCCCTACAATATGGAGTCGCTACTTCTGAGAACCCACTCACCTTTATGCATATCACCCAATGTGTACTAACCATTGCGGGATTTTTTTCTTTGAGGTTTTTAGCTAAGCTCGATCGTACACCTATCATTGCAGGTGAGCCATCTGTGCACAGTCCAATAGGTTTCTTCCAGTCCAAATATTTTTTTCAACAAAATTTGATATTGAATTAAATATATCTTCAGATGTAGTACCTGCTGTCAAAGACTGAGAGTACAAAAGCTCTTCTTGAATGATATCTCCGCCGATGTAACTAACATAAAATATTAACTGTGCACAATTAACGATGTCGGTGGATTCATCGCAACTAATGGCGGTAATTTTATTTTGTTAATAATTTGTGACTTTATGTCTGCTGCAATGTCATCCATTCTACGCTTGACGGTGTTATTCGAAAGAGAAATAGACTTAATTTTTTGCTCTGCATCTTCTCCTAAAATTATCGTGGCTTTTAGGACACATGGTTTTATTAATTCTTCACCGATAGTATGAGGTTTCTTTCATAAAAGCTATTTCAAATGAAGCTTTGAGATGCTACGATACACCTGTGTGATAACTTCCCGATTTATCCAGTCTCATCCGTTTGAGTGATTCTGCTTTAGAAGAAAAAAACTCTTTTGTCTTCAAAACCAGAGTAGGATGTTGTTGCTTCAACTGCCTTTCAAGGCGATTGGGCCTTATGCTATCATTACTTAAAACTTTCATACATATCACACACTGAGGCAATTGTTAACTCGTCTTTTTCTATGAAACTTAATCTTCGGAGAACTTTCTTTTTTTCGCTGCCATTTTGCACCTATAACAATAAAACAAATAAGTAATAAATAAATAATCAAAATACCTACACGTAATTACTAATTATATACCCATTATTTTATCTTAATAACGTAATGTATTCAACTGTATGTTGGCCACCGGGATATTTATATTTTTGTAGGGAGGTTGACGTTTTAAATACATTTGGAATCAATATTAGGTACTTAAAGTTCGTCGTTTCAAAATTATTACGCCACGTTACTTTGATTGTGATGTGGTAAAAAAGTCCCACTCCCACTCGATCAACAATTTAGTAAATTAAATAAAAATGGTAACTGAAGTTTGTAAATACACAAACATACGTTAACCTTAAGAGTGAGACACAATAATTTGACACACTCAAACAGATTTCTCAACAAAACATGTACATCGAAACAATACAAATTTTTCGCAAGTTTGTGGGAATGAATGTCACAGACGCTCATCCGCGTCTGGTAGGTACACAATTGTTTTTCAAGTGATTTCATGTTGTGACTTGTCGAAACTTGTATAAACTGCGATTGACGACACCGGGTTTTGAAACAGCGGTTGACAGAATAAGTAAATTAAACATTACATCGTAATGTTATTTGTCAATGTTGTTTGTTTATTTTTTTAGTTTTTTCTTTCTAAAATGCAAACGCTTTTCGCCCCCCTCGACATCTCTCTATGCCCCCCTTGGGAGACGCACCCCCCTGGTTGGGAATTCATGGGTTAGATTTTCCAGTGCTTTCTGGCTTATGGAAACATTGGTAATGTTAGATCATTGAAAAAACTTCCGTCCGATACTGCTCTTTCCTTTGGTATGTCACATGACGCGATACAACCATATGTTTCTTCTCAATAACCCAAAACATTAGCTCAAGCAATTATATAAAGTCATCGGATGGCGTCCTTACGCCACTGGAGTTCCAAACCTCAAATTTTTTATTTTACTTACCTGTGGAAAGATAAGCCTTCTGCTTCAGGCTGCTGACTATAACTTCCAAACAAAGCATTCAGGCACCGTGGTCAACAAAAGATAATTCAAATGCATAAAAACACAATTTTCACACACAATAAAGGCAAATTTTGAAACTTCTCTTTTTATCGCCGGTGGATGCAGATCAAATTCGGATTATTCGCCTCGTTTATGGGACATTGTTTAGTAAAAGATTCTATATTCTAGGCATTCTATTGATACATGATATAGTGAAATTTGAATAAATCCTGCATTTTTGTTATTGTTATAACATTTAACATGGACTCTTGTGAGAAACTGAGTATTTTCCCTGACCTGGATGCCATGTGCGACAATGTCAGCATCCGTAGCCAATGTATGGGTTAGTTGCGGAGCTTTCGCTGCCGACGTCCCGATGAGGGTAGACACTAATTTATTTTTTTCCTTAAAACAAATTATGGAAATGTTGAAAAACTAATCTTATGAAATTTGAGAGACATCATAACAGCACAAGGTTTGAATGAAATCCACCTTCTAGTTTTTCGCTTTGGACAAATTTGTTTACAGTTCCAAATATACCTATGTTCAAACGAGATCGTTTTAACGTTTTTGTTTCAATTTCCAGGTGATTGTAGGCGGCGTAAAAATGCGCTATCCATCCTGCTACGTGCTGGTGACGGATATGGACGACGATGCGAACAACGCGACCGCCTCCATGTCCACCCTAGGCCAATCGGCCACGCCTACAGGAGGCGGAGCCCTGAGTCCGGCGGCCAGTCCCGAGGGGGCGGCAGTGGAAAGGCGGGGAGTGATTGGGCCGAGAAGTCCGGTGCTCGGGGGCTGTGCGGCGGCGACGCACGTGCATACGCCGCCCACAAGTCCCGTTAGGATTAATAGCAGGGTGCCCCAACCGGGACCGTACACGGTAAGTCTTTAGATAATAATACTCACGGCACTTCAGCAACATATTGTGATAAAATCTGGAAACGGGGGATAGGACAAGTCATAATAGTTATCAGAAAGGTATAAAAAACAGAACTAAAAGATCACCACAGATTTTATGATTTTGTTTAAACCTGTAATTTGAAAAATACACGACTCAATTTTTTTATGTTTTATAACTATCACGACTTGGCGTATTCCCCGTTTCTGGCTTCAAGTCGATTTTTGGGTCGATGTATTTAATAGAAATTTTCTTCGAGCGCAAAATACCGTGCCGCTCGAGTAGTATGCTCGTATCACGCGATAATGTTTAGAGAGCGACAAAGCTCTTTTTCTAAACCGTTTTCGAGATTTTTTCAGCAATCACTAGTTCAGTCTCCAATACAGGGCGTTTCAGAATGTTGTCATAAAAATTGTAGGGCACATAAAAATATGAAAAAGTAATATAAGCGTGGGTCCAGGAAAGCTTTGTTTCTATAACTTCTCAGCCATTGATAGTTCCTATATTTCTCGAAAACAGATTTAAATATTGAGGGAATTAGTAACAAAATAGTACCCGCAAATGTACGATGCTATCATTTGCAAAAAGTAGCATCAGTATCTGGAAGTCAGATTAATTATACTTGAAAACCACCTCTTGACATAAAAGTTACTTTATTAAATGTCCGTGTGTTTATCGTTTCTGCTACTTTGTTGCTCTAGCTCTAGAGCGTCAAATTTGTAATTTGATATCGGTCCTTGAAGATTTTTGCGCAGTTAGACTGCCAGCAATAACACGTACTTTTTCGATCGATTTTAAATTCTAGATTTTGATATAAATTTACATGATTGACATGATCGTTTTGCAGGTGTCTGTCGAGCATCTGAATTCCATGTCGCGAGAACCAACGGCTGCGACAGTGTTGCCAGAACGAACGTGGCAGGAATGCATGTTGAATGGAAACCAACCGGAGAAAGAAAAAGAATGTGACGGCAGTTGGGAATTCGTCGATCCTACCAGAAAAACGAACTGCACGTGTTCCAAGTACGTATGAACTTAAGTAGTTTAATATATTTATTTACAGAAAATAGGTATTCTTGTTTAAGGGATGATGATAATAATAATGGTCTCTATTTGGGTCGAACTTTGGCATAGTGCCACTAAAATAGTACAAAAAAATAACAGAATATTTCAATGTTAAGAAAAGTAATGATAGTTGTATAAATAAGTTGAGTATAAGATAGAATTTATAACATTCTAACAGTTTATAGATAATTTTAAACTGAAAAGTTTGGCGAAGTCAAAGGTTGAAAAACAATCAGTTCAAGTACATATAACCAAAATAGGTATTTTCTAAATTTGTCACAATTTAGCAATTTTATGGCTCGTGGAAGTGCGTTATTGAGAATAACTGTGTTGTATACTGTTGTTGTAATCGAATATCTCTTGTGTGAATATAAGGTATCAGTTTATTCTTAAAAAATGAGGGAATGGATGTGATATAGTTCTTTTATTCTCAGCCATTTCATGTCTAAAATAAGAGATGATATGATCATACCTTTTTAAGTTATTGATCAATCTACAACAGGAATTTTGAATTTTTTGGAGACGCATGAGAGAACTGGAGTCTCAAAATGGAACTTAAACTATATCACAATAAGTAATTTTATACATGATCAGAGATTCGCACATTTTTTTATTTTGTTTGATAGTTAAAAAATTATTTACTTAGGTAAAGTTGGTGAAGAATGGAAAAACAATTCTTGCTGATATTATAAACATGTAGTATAATTTGAGACAACTGATATGATATTAGGTTTTTCGGAAAGTTCTTGTGGTTTTTGTATTTATATTTCAAAAGATGTATTTTACACTAAAATTTATTTATAACGCATTGACCTTTTTGAAGCGCGTTTTTCGCTCTATCTAGTCGTTGTATTCGTCTTGTTTTACGATAATTTTCTTCTTCACGACTTCAAATATAGGATGGACAAGAGGCAAAAAAAATAGGTCGAAAAGCTGCCGATACAGCTCGCGATATCAACGATGCATTTGGCCAAGGAACCGCTAAAGAACGTACGGCACAATGGTGGTCCGAGAAATTCCGCAGCGGTGAAGAGAGCCTTGAAGATGAGGAGCGCAGTGGTCGGCCACATGATGTCTTGGTGTTTTGATGTGGGTATTGCCACCATTTCCGACCACTTGAAACGGATCAGAAAGTCGAAAAAGCTCGAGTACGAATTGATCGAAGGTCAGAAAAATGATCGTATTGAGGTGACATTTCCCTTCTTCTTCGCAACAAAAACGACACGTTTTTCGACCGGATTGTGACAGGTGATGAAAAGTGGATTCGCTACGACAATAGGCGACGTTCTGCGCAATGGATGGACAGCGACGAGGCTCCACAACACTTCCCGAAGCCGAAACTCCATGCAAAGAAGGTTATGGTGACTATTTGGTGGTCTGCAGCCGGTCTCATCCCCCACAGCCTTGTAAATCCGGGCGGAGAAGTACTGCCAGCAAATCAACGAAATGCATCAGAAGCGCTGACGTATTATGTGCCCTAGATTGGTCAATTGGGCTATGAAACTTCAATAACCATTACTCTGCCGAAAATGCCTTTAATGAGTTCATCGCCTCCAGAACTACGGCTTTCTAAGTTAGCGGCATAAATAAACTTGTTACTCGTTAGCAAAAGTGTACTGATTCTAATGGTTTTTATTTCGATCAATAAAGTTTTGTTAAAGCTGAGATATGCTCCTTTGAATTTGTAGGTTAAAAACAGCAAGAACTTTCCGAACAACCTAACACCTAGGTTTTTGACTGATTACTTACCTAACTTACTTAACATTTATGTTAATGTTTGTTTTCGCATCCCTTCTAAATTATTTCGGTGAAAAAATGATGACTTTTGATATTGAACTGAAGATCATGATTCTTTACATATGTACGTACTGGCAGAATTTAGATCATCATTGACCTCAGATACAGCAGTTTGGATATTAAATCATTGGAAATGATTATAAATTTGTGAATCATTGGCGAATATTTGAACATTACAATATTTATCAACGGCATGTAGATCCGATATATATATATATATATATATATATATATATATAAATAGTTTTCATAGATAATTGCTTTAACTGTTAGGAGAAAAAATCCTTGAATTTCTTTGGGTAGAAGGCTAAGTATTGAAAAAGTACACTCTTATAACTAAAACTCGAGCTTTCGAAGATCTATGTCTATGTCTATTGACAATTAGGAGGAAAAATAGTTACTTACTAAGTCGCCGAGATTGTTGCTGAAATTGTTTTTAAACAACAGTGAAGTTTTTTTTTATTCGTCGACTGTGTGTTCTCTTCACTGTTGTTTGAAAACAATTTCAGCAAACAATCTCGCCGACTTAGTAAGTAACTATTTTTCCTCCTAATTGTTAATTGTTACTATTGTCAATAATTGTTCCCAGCTCCAGACGATGAAAACATAGAACTTCGAAAGCTTGAGTTTAAGTTATGAGTGTACTTTTGCAATACTTGGCCTTCTACCCAAAGAAATTCAAGGATATGTGTATATGTAAAATGCTGGTGCATTTCATCGAATACTTTTACAATGAAGCGTATCAGCTCAGTGCTGCACTTTGTGTCATATGAAAATCAATATTTTATTTTTATGGAAACTTTCATAAATAATTTTACTTTGGAAAACGCAAGTTGCGGAAATGCAAGGATAATTTATAGTTATGGAAATAGTGCTCCTTACCAAAGTTGTTAGGAAATATTGTTTAATACCACATTTTTCACGTCGCATTTCGTTCCTATGATTTAATGAAGATGTTTATCAGAGTTACAATAATTAGAAAAAGATGATTTTCTATCGATGTATAAGTATCTCCACATTTTACGTCGATTCATGGCCTTCGTACGCAGTCTACAGTAATCGCGAGCGTTCCTCAAGTCAAAGAAACCTCGATAAAGATAACAAGGAATTCAACCTTGCCAAGTCAATTGACATAAACTATAATTTTGACTAATCAATTACTACAGTTTTATATCTAACGTTTTCTTACATATATAACTTTAAAATGGAATTGACGTCATTATAAAGGATATAACGGTGACCACAGTGATGGTAGCAAGGTACGATTATAGGTCGAGTCGTTTTATCGACCACTAAGGGCGCGAGAGCAGTGTCATTTGCCAGGAAAATGAGCTCTGAACATCGAGTGAAGTAGTTAGAAATATCAAACACGGATGATCTTAGGATTACGGTTGAAAATTCCTGATATAAACCCTTAGGATCATCATCTTACCAGGATGAGTCAATCCTCCAAATGAGTGGGATTGGGTTAAGATTTTAATTTAGCTTTATAATATGAACCCTTTGATCCGTTTTTCTGAACAAGTACATACCAAAGCAAATGTCACTTGTCATCTTGTCAAGGACTGAAAGTAGATGATCCTAGACCCAACTCGATATAAGCGCATGGCATTGGTGAACCTTTGACTTGAGAAGCGGCTCCAAATACGACAGTTGAAAGGTGGTATAAAGTGGTCAAGAAAGAACTATATGAAAATATCACATAGTAGTAGCAAACGCCGTTGCAGGTGTAGAAAGAAAGAACCTGGCGGTCACCACCAGCAACAGTCTTCCAAGTGGTCGTCATCGTCTTCGAAGGGCAGCTGCTCGAGCGGCAAAGGAGGAGGAGGGTCTGGAGCACGGCTGCCACCTTTCCACAGGCGCTCTCCATCCTTCCATTTGCCGCCGCTCACTGCCACTTCCTCAACCTCCTCTACCTCCAACACAACAACTTCTTCCCTGCCAAACACGCCTCAACCACAGAACACCGCGACAACAACGACTGCGACCAGTGCGAGCCAAGAAAGGTTGGTTGTCGCTTGTCACGACACACCATCACCACTTGTGGAAAAAGGGGCTTTTGTATTTACTGTGGATGCGGTTTTTATGGCCACCCAAATCGAACAGATTTATTGTCTCAAATTTCATAACACTTGATCTTCTACCCCGATAAATATATGGTTTAAATGCAGTTTATATGCTTGTAGTTGGTTAATGGAGGAAATACAGGGTGCGTCATCTATTACTTTTTTCTATTTGAAAGATCAAATCGCTTTTTACGAGGTGAAAAAGATTTTTTTTATTGATAAATGAAGGTTGGTTTATGCCATTTATGTATGAAAAATAACATCAGTCGTGTGACCACCGCTTCGTTTACAGGCCAACAGCCGAACATCAAAATTTTCCCAGAATAATCGGGTCTATGGCCGCAATTTCAGTCCGAATATTGCGCTTTAGGTCTTGAATTGTCCGGGGACCATTCGCATACACTTTTCCTTTCAAAAATCCCCAAAGAAAGTAGTCAAGAGGTGTTAAATCGCACGATCTCGGGGGCCAACCGACATCTGAATTTCGTGAAATTATGCGGTCTTGAAATTTCGTGTGCAATAAGGCGATTGTTTGGCGAGATGTGTGCGTCGTTGCTCCGTCTTGATGAAACCAAAGATCGTCAGCACCAATACGATCCAATTGTGGCCACAAAAAGTCTCTTAACATGCCGCGATAACGTTCCCCCTTGACGGTAATGGCCTTTTCTTCGGCATCTTCAAAGAAGAATGATCAACGATGCCACCAGCCCATAATCCGCACCAAACAGTCACTTTTTCAGGATGGAGAGGTTCATGATATTGGTTTGGATTTTCAGCCCCCCAGAATCTGCAAGTTTGCTTATTTACGTACCCATTGAGGTGAAAATGAGCTCATCAGAAAAGAGTACTTTTGCCGAAAATCCGTCTCCTCTTTCCAGCATCAAATTAACAAAAACACGCCGCTGTTGATGGTCTGCCGGCTTCAATTCTTGGGTTAGTTGGATTTTGTATGGATGGAGGTGTAAATCAATGTGTAAAATTCGGCGTAAAGTGGTCTCAATAATTCCCAATTGTTGCGAACGATGCATAGTCGAGGTGGTTGGATCTTCTCGCACACTTTCACTCACTGCGGCTATGTTTTCGCGAGTACGAGCTGGATGAGCATGTTGGTATGGTCTACGACCTTCAGCTGAACCAGTTTCCTCAAAACGATTAACAATCCAACGAATTCCAGGCTCTGTATGGCGTCCATGTCGGCCAAAACTAGTGCGAAGTTTGCGAATAGTATTTTTTATATTTCGACCGTTTTCGTTATAAGTTTGGATAACCAAAATGCGTTGTTGTGTTGTAAACGAATCCATGACTATAAATGGCATACCTTTGACAGTTCTTTATGCATACCAGATGACTTTTGACTCACATGGTAACGCTTAAACTTATAAGTAAAAAAAAGTAATAGATGGCGTACCCAGTACGTTAAGGCGACCTCCGCAGGTTAGGAAAAAATGAATTGCGAAAGTAAAATTCTGCTTTGAAACTACATTGAATTTGGAACATAGAGATTTGAAATGTAATTTGTTTAGGGTTTTGTCTCACCGCCTTCAAAATTTTGAAGGCACTTGTCACTGTCTGTATGATAACTTGCTTGTAATGGACATACGATTTGAGTTTGTTCTTCGATATAAAACATAACGCTACCTGAAGATAAAATTACTATATCTGTGTTAAATCATTGATTGCAGTATTCTACTGCGTCTGAAAATGAACTGAAAGATCGCCGCGAGTAGCAGCTCTGTTAAGGTACAGAGTGCAATTTCCCTTAGGGAAGATTAAGCTTCGCACATGGTACAGTTTACTTATATCGTATGATATTGTGACTTAACCGTCAAAAATCGTGAAAAGAACTATTATATCTGTTTCACGCTGCCTGCAGTCGCTGGGGTTGTCAGATTTGTGGAATGTAAGCTCTGCTTAGAAAATCTAATCTTGATAGATATTGATTGAATCGAGATTTAATAAATGAGAAAAAGTAAGCCTTTACCTCATTTGGTATTCAAAATCTAAAAAATTATCCTAAGGACTTAGCCTTAAAATGTTTCTCTATCAACGAAATTTGATTATAAGGTGCATTTTAACCATTAACCAAGTTTATCACTAAAATGTTATGGAATATAGTCATAACAGAGAATCTCGTAACCTCCATAACAGAACAGAATACATTGAGTTCAGTCTACCCTTTTTCTAGTAACACCAGGCCCTAATCTAACTGAATTTCGACTCTTGAAATTAATTTCATGTCGCTTTCCCATAAAAAATCATAAGATAACAGGAATTAATTTCAGAGGTCGAAATTCATTTAGTCAAGACCGTGTTTGCTTATCTTCATTCCTTTGGGAGGTCATACGTTCACATTGATCTCATCTTATGCTTGACTGACAGCTACCAATGCAAGCAAGAAAATGAAAATTACGATCTAATATTAAAAAGCCAACATACTGCACTAACAGACTTGTCTAACGTGGTAATGGCAGAAACGTATCATATGTACAAAATGAATGGATAAGGTTATGGGTAGACTTGAAATAACTATAATTTCCACCTTAATACATATTTTAATATATTTTACGGTTATAACCTACTGAAAATATGCATGTAAGGTAATTATTGGGTCTCGGTTTACTTTTAAATATGATAATATTGATAGTTTCCTGTTTGCTTTTGTGGGTTTTCAAGATTATCACATTAATTGGTTTTAGGTTACCGTACACAGGTACATTTGAATATTTCACGATAATATTTAATGATATTTGTTACGTTGTGGTTTTCATATCAATGGATTTGTGAAAATCTAACTTTAATCACTTCCCCAATACGTTTGGAACAATTTTTTTAATGTCATATTTGTGACGTATACCAGGTGTATACATAATCTTGTCAGAAAAATTTAAGTGAAGATCAAAAATATTAAGATCGATTTATACAAACATGGATCTGGACCTGTTTTTCTATATTTTTTATATTTCAACGTGCTGGTAATTCTCTTCAATTGTCCTGCAAAAATTTTCTAAATGTAAATTCAACAGATTCAAAAGTTATACTGATTTGTTAGTTTTGTTGAAAGATTTTTTGTTTTAGAATTGAAAAACCTTACTAGGTTTTTATAAAATCGTGCAACATCAATTTTGCTACACCCATTGTCTAATGATTACCATCACAAAATGTGAATGTCAAAGCTTATACCACCATGTACAAAATGTGATTGTCCTAGCACACAGCTCCGCACGGGTCTCAACATTCACCCAATATCGCATTCTCATTCTATGTCTTTCTAGATGCGGAATCAGCGGTGGCGGCAGTTCTCTCGGCCAATACACCCCGGCCCGCCCATCAGAGCACGGCGGACCACCCTCCTATCCGCCACGAACACAGGATTCGCTCGCCCCACCCTCCGAAGGCAGTCCTCCGTCGGCAGCGCCATCTCCATTGGCCAATCCGCATTCGGCGCAACCACCTTCCGTACCGCCCAGCAGCCAGGCGGGCGGCACCGGTGACCAATCGCAGCCGCCGTCGCTCTTATCTCCGCATACCGGAGGCGGAGTCAACGCTAACCCCGCCTCGGTGGGAGGAGGCGTGGCTTCGGTAGGCGGATCTCAGCAGGAACGCAGCGGTCAGGAGGAGGATATCAGGCCGCCGGCAAGTATGGACAGTACGGCGGCGACGCCTGCAGCCACGCCTGGACAGCCAATGGGATCGGCGCATCACGCGGGAGGCTTGGCTAGTCCAAGGGAGGAGAAGCAGAAGGACGAGACGAATAGCACGGGTGTACTCACGGTCAGTTTGTTTCGTTTTTTAGTGCCCATTTATCTTTTTTGGGTGTTCATTGTTTCCTACATTATTTAAGTCACATAAATTGCGAGAAATTTGTGCACGGAGACATTTTTTCTGTACAGAGTTAAAACGTCATTTTTGCGATTTTGTTCAAGGAATACCGCAACTATATTAAAGTCCAAACATATTTTTTTAAATTGCAAGACATTATATTATCCATTCTTATACGTTGCGTAACTTATTCTTTTATACATCTTAGGTGCTGAAGAGGCCGCTACTATCAAGCAAAGATTACGAATCTGCCTTAGGCGAAGAAGAACACACTTTAGAAATGCTTTACGACTACTCAACATTAGACGCATGGCTTGAACATCCTGTTAAAAGGATTAAAATGGACGGGAGGTAAGGAGTATTTTTTAAAAAGGGGAACATGTAAATACAGATAGAGGTGCATAATAGTTGTATTCGATATTCATTTTTTGTTTTGTTTTACAGGGAACGGCGACGGTTCAACCGTCAAAGTAAAGTCGACATATATACGATGTATGCAACTAACGAAACATTACATAATGGCGATATTGGGAACAACAGAAATGGACCTATCATAAACATCAAACAAGAAATTAAGCAAGAAATGTCTGGACAAGGGGTAAGAATACTGTTCAATTTCTCATAGTTCCTAGATAGTTAATAAGTTGAATATTAACGATGAGTCAATTAAATAAAATAATAGCAAAGGGTGTATTTTCAAAACATTATTTCAATGCAACATTGATATTATGCTTCATAAAATATGCGTATTTCTGACCTTTAAGAATTGAATGCTTAAAAATAGACACGGCTTAAAATACTTTTCGGGACCTTTTAAGCGATGTTATGAACTTCAATTTAGATAAATGCCAATCTCATAAAAATGATTTTTAGCAGAGATTATAACAATAAAAAATTCCCACTTTTAGGATTTTGCAGACTTTGAATCGCTTATAATTCGAATACAGATAACTTTAGATAATCGTCAGTCAGGACCTGTTTTGTTGAGAATAATAAAAAAAACAAACTTTGTTCGGAGCGAAATAACTTATCTTCTTGTAATATGCTAAACAATTTTTTTAAGGAAGTTCGCAGCGGGTTACCACCTCACAGTGATTCCAGAACTAAAAAAAAAACTGTCCAAAGGTCCAAAAAAAAAGTGTTTTCGTCTTGGACTCAGATTTTGTTCAAAGTTATGTATAGAGATGCATAACTCATATTTTGATAACATTAGTTACACCTAGATGGGACTGCATGCGATATATTTTCGAAAAATCTGTATCAATTCCATTATTAGCGACTTCAAAAACATACAAAATTTGAATCTAAGCACATTCCAAAAAATGTCCACCATTTCGGATCCGCCATTTTGATTTCGAAAAAAGGATATTCAATTCGTTACCAACCTCAAAAACATAAAAAACAAATTTGAACGCAATCAACACATTTTTTAACATATGAAAAATTAGAATCCTGCATACAAATCTCGAATTTGAGCGCATTCCAAACATTTCTTTGCAAACATATCCACAATATTGGATCCGTTATTTTAATTTATAAAGAAATCGATATCTGATTCGGTACCAGCGACATCAAAAATAAACAAAATCCGAATTTGTGCGCAATCCAAACATTTTTGCATAACCTTCATTTTGTATTCAATATTTTGATTTTCCACAGAAGGATATCACATTCAATATCAGTGACCTCGAAAACGAATAAATGAAGCTTTTTTGTGAAATTTAGTGAATATTAAGGTTAATAATAATTGGTTTTTTGATTCTGTCAAGTTGTTTTGTACAATTTTGAATTCAGATCCTTTAAATCTATAGTGATGCAATTTTGTAAGTAATTTTATCCCAGTCAATAGTTACAACCGCTCTTTTGAAGTCCAAAAAAACTGACACTATATGTTTCCTATTGTCCATACATCTCCCCTCCGGTCCTGTAAAACCATTTGTATTACCGTTTCAATATTTCTTACTAAATCCATCTTGAAATTTGGTTAAAATTCTATTCTTAATGAATTAAATGATTTGTTCGTAAATAATTTCTTCATATACTTTTTCAACATTTGGAAGAACATTTATTGGCCACATATTGAAACTCAATTTTTTTAACTTTCAGAGCAGGGGTTATTATGGGACACTTCAATTTTGAATATTTATTTATCAGGATTAATATTATTGCCCCAATAATATCAAAGCATTCTTTTTGACAGAATCTCACTGATATATTGATTCGATTTCAATTTTGTTATAATTTTTTGAGATGATTATGAAACGAACAATTGATTTGGAAAATGTGCGAGACTTTCGCCTCGCCTAATAGGCGATAACCGCTTATTTTTAGACTGTGTAACCAAAATGCTTTTTACAGATGGAGACGGGTCCAGGTACGCCGACCAGCGGTACCACAACAACCTCAGCCAATCCAACAGGTGGGCCGCCCCTGCACGGAGTGAAACGACCCGGCGATCCGTACGAATTCGAGGAGGACCCCACCGGCCAGAACTGTCACGCTATGGACGGATTCAAGAGGGCGCAGCAATCGCAAGAGGGTGCTGCCGCGGGGGCAGTCACCGGGGCGGCGGCTGCAGGTGGAGCTGTTGTCAAAGAGGAACCCAAAGATGCGAAAAAGGTCACGGAGAATCTGTTTACCAGCGAAGGTTTGCAGCCGTCGTATAAGGATCTCGATCAGATTTTTGATAATTCGGATTATACGAGTAGCGATGAAACGGTAAGTTTTTGAGACTTTGTTTTTTTTTCAACGTTTTTGGTCACAGTAAATCTAACGGTATCACTTTCTCATATGTCCTTCCCAATCTTACCGAGTCTACCGATTTTTCGATAGATCTGCCAAAAAAAATATGACATGATTCACCCTGTAAAAATACAGGCTGGGGCAGTCAAACCTGCATTTTTCAAATAACTAAAAAACACGGTTGCTTTTTACAATTTTATTGATACCACGTTAAAAAGCATTTAAGAAATATTGCTCATTTAAAAATAACATCATTAGGATATCTTCCATTTCGATCTCTAAAATTCTTCATTACATCACGCAGCATCTGCTGACGGATTATTTCGATTTCTCGCCTTTATTCTTCAAGAGTGCGAGGCCCGGGTTCTTCGAAAACTTTGCTTTTCAGGTAGCCCACAAGAAAAAATCACATGCACTGAGGTAGGGTGAACGGGCGGGCCAAGAAATGGCTCCGTTCCGGAATATCACCCGATTTGGGAAAACTTAGTTGAGGAGATTCGTGCTTACGCGGTGACTCCATCTTGTTTAAATAACGTTTCATCATTCTGTCCATGTTCGCGAAGTCGAGGAATAAAGAATGTTCGCAACATTTCCGAGTAGCGCTCCACATTCACGGTAACAGCTTGACCCCATTCATCTTCAAAAAAAGAATGGGTCTATGATTCCCGTTGAAGACAATGCACACCTAACTGTTACCTTGGCCGGATGGAGAGGTTTTTGATGTTATTCTTGAGGGTTTTCGTCGCTCCAGTATCTAAAATTTTGTTTGTTAACGCAGAGCAAAATGTCGTTTTCTTCCATGATTTCCAAAAACGTTTCACAAAAGTGCCGTCGAACAGCGACATCGTTTTCATTTAGAGCCTAAATCACTTAGGGGTGACAGTGTAAATCAACCTTCAAGATTCTTCGGAAACTCCCGTCTGAAAGAGTTGTCATAGCGATTCTTACAAGTTCAATGGTCGCACGGGTTCTCACTGATCTCGCACTGCCACCTTTTCTGTTTCTCGTTCCACCCATGTTTTCAAAGTTTTTTACCCATAACTTTATTGAGTTAACAGAAGACAGATTACGATTAATTTGGAAATGAACACGGAAGCGGCGTTGAGCGGCTATATAACTACCACTTTGATAAAATGCCTTCACGACGAAGGAGCGTTCTTGCTTAGGCCACTCTTCCATGGCTACTGTAAGCCTTTTAACGGGCGGTAACCTTGACAACTCGCCCCACCCAGGTTCTTGGCTTCTTTCAAGATTGCAGGTTTGACTGCCGCACCCTGTACAATTACTCGATGCCATTACAAACAATTTTTTAACAACTTATTCCATACACGCACCAAAGTACGAGGGCACTACTCTGTATAAAGCAATAAAAAAGTACGGTGCCTCTTCAAGTAAGGTGCCTAAAAGAATCCAAGTTCTTAGAAAAATGTCGACATCATTAAAAGTCAGAAGATCAAAGGATTTTTTGCAAGTGGTAACTATGTATTCTTTGACACAACTGACTCATTTCTTCTTTTCCAGCTGCAAATCCAAACGCCGCCCGGCTCCTACCCATCCAGCAACCTTCCGACTATCACCAGCAGCGGTGGGTTGCATTCCTTCGACGATTCTACCAAACAGCGCTGCCCCCCGTGCACGGCAGCGCCGGGCGTCAACGAGCTCAGCAAAATGTTCCCGACGCCTCCGAGTCTGGAACACAACCCGGTCGCGTCGCCCACATGCACGCAACTGGATCTGTCAATGGCAGTGGATTATGACATTGTCAAGGTCAAACAGGAGTGCCCGATCGGGATCGGCAGTCCCAGGGAGGAGAATATCGGTTAGTATGGCATTCCAAGTTCGCCAAAAATAATGGCTATAGTTTTATGTCCGCAATATTTTTTGATGATCATATTTGATCTCAGCACTCCAAATTATCCAAGTGTTATATTTCGTTTTGTTAAAAAATTGCAACGCGTTTGTGAAACGCTATACAAGATCCGATAAATTGAACAATAACCTTTTAAAAGTTGGAGCTTGTATACATAACAGTTGTCAATTTCTTCACAATAATAAATTGTTGAACCAATTGCCAGATTATACCCCATTCGTAGTCCCTTTACGCCCAGACAAAACACAACATGCCCAGAAGGGAGATTGTACAGGTCCGTATTTTCCTCAATGGCCTTGGAATAATCTAACAAAATAAATGATTTTTTTTATAGAAAGAAGTGCACACCCTTTTCACAATTCTTTATTCCCTGGAAGTACTTGAATCATCACCCGAATGGTTAATATTAATTATTACAGGTTCAATTTGAATATCGATCGTATTGTCCAGATCCCATATCTTCGTTTCGATTGTCTCTTGTATCTTTCCAATGGTTTGCCGGCACTCTGTTGACAGCTTCATAAAACAAATTTTTCATGTCACGTTCTATTGTTTGAAGCCACAGAGTTTTTTATATTTGCCCAAGTCTTTTCAATAGGATTTGATACGCAGTGATAAGGGGGTAGCCTTGAAACAGTTTTATTTTGGTTTTTAGTCATTTTGTCAATAACATTTATATTTGTGCTGCCTGACTAGATGGATAAGTTCTGCTTTGACCATATTTTCATAAAAACTATTGTCTTTTGATAGGGGCTATCGTTGAATTTTTGCCTTTCTTGTGGGCATTGTGGGAATTTTTTCTAGTTTCCTAGTGTGGTATGCAGCATTATCAAATACAATGACGGCCATATCGTCAAGCTTTAGGAACGTTTTTTCAAAGTATCGTTCAAATGAACTCCCGTGTATTTCTTCATGGTAGTCGGTCGTTTTCTTTCACTCGGATGCCCATAAGGCAGTGGGCACAAAGCCATTTTCACGGCCAATGTGCAGGTAACAAATCGTTTTCCTTTTCCTGGAATTAATTATTTCATATAGTATTCAAGAAAACTAATGATAATACAAACAGAGTATCTAACAGGTGTTGGTTCCAAATCTACCAGATGTAGCTAAGTTTTTAGCGTGGGCTCATAGACTCGGTCTCCTTGTCACCATTTTTACAACACAAATGACGAATTGGTTAGATAGACGTACCTGACGGATGCTTCAGCCTATACTTTAAGTATTGTATGTCCTGCATTTATCCAGGTTTCATCCAAGTAATAAATCTTCCTGCCCTGGTCGCAGTATTTCGTCATTGAGTTTAAATAATTTCTTCTACATAAAATAATCTCTTGGCTGTCCATCAAAATACTATTTCTGTCCCGTTTTCTATACTCAAAATAAAATTGCATTCCGATCAAAGTTGTCAACTGTATCCAAGAGCTTCATGTAATGCAGCCTCTTATGTGGTGGAGACATTTTTTTTAACAATGTTGAAAATTGTGTTAGGACATAAGCCTGATTTGTTCGCCACACGTCTTTCAATATCATGAATTTACATTTCAGGATGCTCTAAAATTTAGCTCTTATAAACGTTTAGGACAATTTCTTTTGCCTGAATATTCAAATGGCCCTTGTCAGGTTTTCGGAGAGGAGACGTCAATGAAGAAAGCATTGGAAGAAATATTCTCAGTTTCATCTGCTGTATCCATAGACATGCTAACGTATAAACACGCTATGTATACACCGAATATGAACAGCAACTGCCTGCGATATCCCGAGTCTGAGTTCTATCATGTCGAATCCTGCACTTGTTCGTAGTTTTATGGCCCAAGTACCAATAGCTATTGCAACGCTTTGGCGGCTGCCGCTTTGTCGCGCTGCATCTTTGTTGTGTAAATGGACTACGAATATGGTATAGAGCTTGTCTCAATTTTGCTTAATTGTTTGGGGGAATTCCTGTTAATCTTGTTTTTTTTTACTTCCCACGGATTCTAAGCCAAGAACGCAAAAGCTTTCAAAAATTGGCCCAGTGACCGCAGAAAAACGGGTCTAAAACGAAAAAAGTAAAACAAAATCAGAGGTAAAAAAAGTTGGTGGTGGGGCTTGTAAGGTTATGAGTAGCATAATTTTGTCACAATGCCTATTATTTACAGAGGATTGGAGTTATGTGTTCAAACCACCCGTCATCTGCAAAATGGTCGGTGCAACAAAATATGCCCCGCTAACCGGTCTACCAAGTCAAATGCTTCCGCCAGTAACGATACCCTCTGAATGTACCTACAAACCGTCATGGGTACAACACCACCAAGCTGTTGCTGCTGAGAAACAGAAAATGAATAATGTCTCTAGTATGATGAATAACTCGGTAAGTGGATCATTATATTGTTTGAAATGCAATTCAGCAATGTAAGTATCCAAATAATCACAGTTCTCTTATATAATCATATCGAATAGTAAATAGAAGTATGTAGAAGATTTTTTAACGATTGTCCTTTTGTGTTCATATCATTATATTAGCTGAACGCTATAACATTGAAACGACCAGGAAATATTTCATGTCCCGGTATTGTCCAGCTTAGTGAGAAACAAGCCCAGGTACACTCATGGATTTGGAATAGAAATCCAATGCAACATCACTGAAATTGAGCGAGATTTACGCCAAATGGTTATGGACAATGTCGATAATAAAAGAATGCATATTTTTTTGTACCGCTGGGTAAATTTGAGTAAATCATTAAGTATATTTACTCAACAATAGAACCAAAGAAAAAATACTGTGTTTTATATCCATTTTACGTTAATTTAGGAACAACGATTATAACAGATTTGTTTTTCAGCTGCCGAACAACATCCAATCAGCGCTAGGCCCGTCGAGCGCTGGTTCCAACCAATCGGCGGCACGTACACCAACACCCGGTGGTGGTCTGTTCCCGCAATCGCCGATGCACGGTACCGCGCCCGGTTTCCGACCGCCCCCACCTCCGTACGATCCTACGGCGAGTCCAGCCAGCGCGCATACGCCTGCCACGCCTGGGGGCGGTCAAAGCGGCGGCGGACCGCCTTACAAGACCGAAATGGGCGGCAGCGATACGGCTGCCCATACGCCTACAGGTAAGTTTCATAAACGGTGGAAAAATTAGTTTTTTATTCATTTTACGATTTTTAATGGTTTCTCTCTCGCGGCCAGTGACGAAGTGTTTCCTTTATTAAGGGCATCAAAAATAATGAAATTTTAGTTGGTGATTTTGCGTTTAAAAAAATTAAAGTTTATGATCGACGTTTTCAACATTTGGGGTCCTCGACTGTGCATACCTCGTGGTTTGTTCAACCGACGCGTGCCCTTGGCTGTTTGTAACAGATAAACAAACCGACGCGGCGCATGATGGAAACGTCCAGGAAAACTGCCTGAATACGGTCGCAAAGTCTTCGCAACATCTATAAGACACTCAATGTAAAGTAACATGGATAAATTCGATATTGTTATAAAAGTGTGACATTTTCTGTCTTTTGATTCCTCTTTGTAAACAAACAACTCGATCTACCTACACATGACGTATGTGTTGAATAATGACGCGAGTCGTATCTTTCCTCCTAATCATTCGTTGGAAGCAGCATTTGATATTGTATAGGTAATCTTCTAAATATACTGGGCTAAGTGGCAACGTTTCTGATATTATTATATTATACCGTTCAAGATGGATTAAAAATAAGATCGTATAGGAAAAAGTGCCTCATCGTGCGAATAAAGGTGCAAAAACTGGATAAGATTATAGTTTCCAGATTTTTTGAACGACTGTTTTATTTTTGTATTTAGGGCAACATTTGTAGTTGATCCTTGAGGTCCGGGTGCCGATTAAGGATTGGTCAACCCTTGGATATTGAATGAATAATAACTCACCGTTAAGTGATCCTTAAGCGGAGACTGAACACTTGCGAATCGCATAGACTGTGAAAGGTCTCATCACGGGTTTTCAAATTTTTCAATTTAAAAATTTTGAAGATTTTGGAAAATTTTGTAATTCTGTTACAAGTATCTGTTAAGTGCAAATGTTAAATCACTACCTGAGAGCGGTGACTCAAGGGTGCGTTATTATTCGTTCAATATCCAAATATATAAATGTGGGGGTAAAAGATGGTTAAACTTAGATAAGATGTACATATATTTGATAGAAACTGATTTTAGTAAATAGTGCGAACCTCATTATTACCAAACTTCACGTGCATTAGTTCGGAAACGTTGCTAATTGATGCGATTTTTTTTATATTATTTCATGTCTCAATAACGTCTACGCATTTTTTCGTTGGTTGCAAGATAATGCCAGAATTACCCAATGCCTTTTCGTGTAATAATTGATGGTGGAAAAAACTATTTCTTTATTTGAAAAATTGAAGAATGCAACTTCTCAAGACAATTATTTTTTATATCCCGTTTTTAAATTGTTGCAAGTCTCTTACTTTCTTCTGCAATACCTCCCGTATCAACATATTATTTTATTCACCACTGTGTTCTCTATGCAATAACTATGATAAGATTTTTTGTTAAATTTCAGTGAGTGCTACACTAGCTATTTTTTTACGTGTTCTTGTATGCACACATTATATTTACGTTGTTCATGTATGCGCACAGTTAACTTACCACTATTATATTGCCGTGAAATTGCTCCAGTTCATGCGACAATTATGTATGAATAAATTAATGAAAATATCATGTTTGCAGGTGGTGGTGGCGTGTCTATGGGCATGATGCACTCCAGCATTGCTGCCCAAAGAGGAATGGCTCCCGAGGCCTCCAGTCTAGTACTCAACATACTACTTACAGATACGGCGTTCAACGTGTTCAGAGACCACAACTTTGACAGTTGTACGCTGTGCGTGTGTAACGCAGCTGGAAAGGTAAGCCTCCAAAAGATATATTCTAAGTTTTTTTATATGAGCGAGATGTATGTTAGCCTTCCATCAAAAAATATCCTCTATTTTCTGACGTTGACAATTGGATATGACATGAATAGTCATAAGCTTTCGATATCACGACTAAAATCAAATCTTATTGGATGATTACTTCAGAGAATTCGCGTCCATAGTTTGAGGTTAAAAAGCAACTGCGCATTGGTAAAAAGTACCCTATTGGCCATTATGATAGCAAATGTACGCAATTTTATGTTCCCTCAAATATTAAAATTGTCTTCCAGGTGGTAGGCAATATTCGAGGCGCTGATGCTGGTATATACCTTCTGAACTCTGCCCTAGACAAGCACAATGCCGCTTCCCACCCTGGAGCGAGTCCACCATACCACATAAATCACCCCTTTGGATATGAAGAGCACCATGATGAAGATGCAATGAAATGTACATGCGGTTTCTCTGCGATAGTCAATAGAAGATTGGCCTATGGAAGTGGTCTGTTTTACGAGGATGAAATGGAAATTACGGGTAAGGATATTTGGAAATACTGTTCAAGTTGGGGTGTTCAAATAATAGAGATGTGCTGAGATTAATTGAAAATTATAAGGAAACTTCGTTTACCCGAGTTTTCTCGTTAGTTGGTAAAAAATTATTGAATTGACGAATCACGTAATGTTTCATAAATTATTCACGAATAATAATTTCATCTATTCAAAAAAAATATTCCCATTATTTCTTAGCCAACTCGATACATTGTTGTATGCAATGTGGCCAACAAAATGATGATTAGTTGTTGAGCTATAAATGATTCAATGTAAAAAACACAACTCTACAGTTGTTGAGCTATAAATGATTCAATGTAAAAACCACAAATCTACAGTTGTTGTTGTTGTTGAAGATTTATTTAGCATTACTGCTACAATGTCAATTTTGTATAATGATTCGGTTACATATTTTTCTTCAATGCATTTTCTGCAACTTTACATTCTTGTCTATTAAAATTACGTCACTATGTATTTTGATTATTCATAAAGTTATTTTCTAATTTCACCTTAAACATTTTTAAATTCGAACTCTGTTTAATACCATTATTCAATTTATGAAATTCAAATGCTCCCTTTTGAAATATAGATTTACCAGTTATGCTACTATTACAATTTTGCAGATGAAAATCTATACTGCCTCTAGTTTCGTAGTTATGATAATGTCTATTTAATTTTGTGAAGTTCTCTAAATGTGATGGTAATAAATGATTTTTTAATTTGAATACGAAAACGAGAACTAAATAATATATGAAATTTTTCACATTCAACCACTGCAGTTCTTCTAACATAGACTTAATCCTAGCATATTAGTTTTTATTTAAAATGATTATCATAGCATTATTTTGTAGAATTTGCAATTTTGAAAATATGTTTTCATTTGCTGTAAACAAGATTTTTTTTTTTTATACTCCAACTACCACGAAGGCCTAAGGCCTAAGCACCCATTGGGTACCGTGGGGCTATGGGGGATACGTGGGAAAGGGGGGGACGCCACACGGACTCTGGCGAGGGAACACGTGTGCATGCAACATGCACACATTCTGGCTCCGCCTACGAGAACCGCCGGGTGGTACCTCCGCGTTCGACAGTCAGAGACCATCTACCACCTACGGACAATCACAACATCCATGGCCAAGAGAAACATTTCTCCTGGGACGGCAATCGAACCCGCACAGCGCACGGCGACTGATCAGGAGACCGAAGAGTCTACTACTGCGGCCACCGCTGCTGCCTAAAACAAACACACAACATCCATGGCGAAGGCGAGATTCGAACTCGCGGCCCGGCCGGCCGGCTGATCAGTAGCACGACACTCTGACCCACGCGGCCAACCGAGGTCCCGAGATGGTTGAACAATATAAAAAATGGGGACGAATTATATGTTATACACAATTTTTTTAGAATACATACTAAGATTATGGGAAACTATAGAAGTAATTTATATTTTTCGATATTTTTGAAATAATGTATTCATAATGTTCGTGAAACTATTACTATCCACGTACGAGTATATACCAAGATATTTAAATGATTCGACTACTTCAATTTTTTTTCATTAATCATGAGCCTAATTGTATTGTCACCCAAATGTTTCCCTATTGACATATATTTTGTTTTATTAGTGTTTAATATAAGTTATAAAATAAATAAATATAAATAATAAATAGTAATGGCCCTAATAATTTACTCCCCTGTGGCACCCCTACTGATATATTTTGAACACTTGACATTTCCAACTTTAGTTTTTTGACTTCTATTTACTAAATAATGTGTAATACTGATCCTTTAAAGCCATAGTGTCGCAATTTCATCAACAATTTTTTCCTATCTATAGTCTCAAATGCCCTTTTGCCCAAAAAATATTGTTACAATATATTCTTTCTCATCTATACTTCTTCTCCAGTCTTCCGCCACCATTTGGATTGCCGTTTCTGTGGAACATTTTTTTCTAAATCCAGCTTGATTTTTTATCAAAATTTTAGTTTCTTCAATGAATCCTATGACTTGTTCGTATATTATTCCGCTAGCTCTACATTTTGAACAATAATGACTTTATACTCTAGGGTTTTGAAGTACTGATGAGAAGCTTCATCGTGATGTGTCACGTAACTCCCAATTCCACTTATTGTTTCTCTTGCGTCAAGCTACTATTTTGATCATTATTTAAACGTTAATTTCTTTGCGAATTTAATTCGACTTTTAACTGTTCAGAAAATGAGAAGAGAAGGAGGACTTTTTAGAAAACCGTGTATATTCCTAAACTGTGATGCCGATTCTCCATGATCTCACGTCCTTTTTTTCGCTTTTTTCTTTCAACTACCTGTTTAAAAAGCGTTATAAATTTTTTTGTCACAAATATTAGTACATCTCTGAAATTGTATGTGAATATTCCACTTTTATTCAAGAATGAAACGGATAATTACTTTTATTCTTATAACTCTTTCTCTTCAAAAAATCTTTGATTTTCTTGGAACCTCTTTTTGCAGCAAATTCAGCTTTCAAGAAAGGCAAATATTTTTTGAAACTATTTGACAAGACGACTCCTCCAGGCGCGCTGTTGAAAACAGAGACGTGCAACGTTAAAGTACCTTTTTTATCTTTCAGGCATAGCAGAAGACCCCGGCGAACGCAAGAAATCCTCCCTAGTCCAATACCTGAAACGTCAACCTGACAACGACCCTAGCACCAGCGGTATCGGCGGCGCGACATCCGATCGCGAACAGATCGACGCGCTACCGCACCACCTGTTCGAACTTGTCCGGGAACAGGTGGTGTTCATGTCGAGCGAAGCTAACGCCCTCTGCCGCGCGGCGCGGTACGTAGGTTCGGAAGCTGCGGCGGAGCGGGACCAGATGGCGCTGGAAGTGCATCCGCTGGAGTACCAAGACGGGGACGAAGTGACGGGAATCGCGCTGGAGCAGAGCAGGTGTAGTAGCGGAGTGGGAACCGGGACCGCTACCTCGCTAGAGTCGCTCGGATTGTGCAAAGTGAGTATATATATATTTTCATTTGACTTGACTGAATTCCAGAAGTAGAATTTGGACCAAGTTGCAATAAGAGTGAAGATAATAATACAGCAGGGGGTCCACGGACTCATTTTTACTTATTTTTTCGAACTCTCATTTTTTTCCTGAAATGCTCATTTTTCTCATTGTTTTGATATGTTAGAGGTCGCATATAAATGAACCACCCCTGATAAAAGGTCAATGTAAACATTGATAATTGAAGAGAGTCAACGTAAAAATTTATATTGATGAGAAAACAAATATTCGCCTTAGTTTTTGTGTATTTTACTATCTAGAATAGCGATATTCTGAAAATCGGTACAACGGTGACGAAGAGCCACTGGTAACACTTTGCCCCTTGATAATTCTGATGATAGCTCCCATTTTTCGAATCGTGTTTTTAGATTTTTTCATTTATTTGATCATGATTTAGCGCTCTGAAATATAATATTCATACAATCGGATATAATCTACTCTTGCTAGGGAGCAAAAAATCGCTAATAAAAAAACTATTCCATAAACTGACCACATTTCGCACGAGAGACTTTATGGCTGTTATTCTATAATCTAATAAATTCCCGCATAAAATTAAAAACTCAGCAGATAATTTCTGAGCAATACAGACTACTGTCTACTATTTAGTTTTAAAGGTAATAGAGTTTCTTTTTTCAATGTACCTGTTCAAGGTCAGCTGAATCGCATGAGTGTACTTAGTTTTTAAGGAATGCATTATAAACTCGAAAAGAAATTCTAATAAACATGAAGCTTGCATTAACATGCTGACATACATGACGGACAAGCATACAGAATTGCGTTCATTGGTTGTAAGAACAATAAATAATATTAATAAGCAATCTCAAGTTACGTCATTCAACCTCTGTGTAACAACATTAACAACAGGAGTTGTTTTTGACTCATTTAACTGCTCCTAAAAAATTAGTGATACCCATAATATTGCAATTTGTATAATAATAAATTGCAAAAAAAAAGTATTTTCAGAAGTAGGTTAATTTGAATTCTGTGAGCGTTTTTCTGATTTACGAAAATGTGTGGATATGCCAACGATTGCGTGAAATGAAATTCTTCAAATCACTCGAGCGAGTGGTTATTATACAGGATGTTACTTAATGATAGACCGTAATTCGAAGAGCGCATTTATAAACAAAATTTTAGTGGAAACGCTCATATGATCATGAGTTTGATTATAAATGAGTTTCGACAGTTGAAATTAATTTCGACGGCGCCTTGTGACGATATACTTGATTAGCTATGATAATTTTGACACTGCCATGATAATTTGGATACAGAAGATCAACATAATCAGATGTCAAAATTATCATAGCGAATCAAGTATATCGTCACAAAGCGCCATCGAAATCAATTTCAACGGTCGAAACTTATTTAGAATCAAGCCTGATGTGCCTTAAAAGTCTGGTTTTCAAGATACAAGCGTCAAAGTTTAAAATTATCTCGAAATTCTGTGCCGATTTTATCGAATTTGGCAGTGTTGTTCATTGCAATAAAATGCTAAGTTAGCACAATGTCGAATTTCAGTGTAATCTCGGGGAGCATTCTCGTAAATAATGGCAAAAAATTTGTACGCCACCGACCTTTAATAATCTTTTTTTTTTTCAGATTAAGCAGCTAACTTTTTGTTTCTTGGTATCCCTTCGTACTTTACTGCGTTTTCGAAGAGGAAATAAAATCTGATTACATTTTAAACAATTGTTAAAATAAAATCAAATCAACTTTGATCGTTTCTGGGAATGCTGTTGTTATTATGGACATATTTTTGACATTTCGTGACAATTTTCCCCCCTGTCAAAAATACAGTTTATAAAACTGTGACACTCTACATCTTGGAAACCGGTACTTTCAAGACTTCATACAAACTTTTCTACTTGTGTGGCATACCATTAACACCCCGTAGAACATATTCGATGTGAAAACGCGTAGTGGCACTGCGAATTGTGTTGCTAGATTAGTTGATTTTTATAGAAAATAATATAATTCATAGAAAAATAATCTTTTCAATGCATTTTTTAATTATTTCATAGTAAGGCAGCAAAAATGTCATGTAAAATGTGCAAGGGTGAGTGGATACGCGAACGCGAGGGGTCAGGAATTACCCTCTGGATTTTGTTACGTTTCATGAAGTCACAACTATTAAATATTCTACATCAAAACATTTCTCTATATTTTTAGCTGGAAGACGTGAAACCGCACCACTACGCAAACGCACTCCATCACCACCACCAAGTAGCCAAAGCGCGTGGCATGCGTGCCGGTATGCCCGGCGGTGCCCCTCGTGGGTACGGAAGTTCCCTCGGCAGCCTCCGGACCTCTTCGGCCCTGCACACCGCCGTAGGGACCCTAGGCGGCCGGTCTGTGCACCGATGGCCCTTCCTCAGGGCTGCCGGGCCCCGGTGCAACAGGGACATCGTCAGGGTGATGCACCGGTTACAACCGCTGTTGCAGGAGGCGATACAGAAGAAGTGCCAGACTAGGTTGCTGTGGGAGGCGCCGAGCGCGGTGAAGGGGCCTCTTACGTGGAGGCAGTTCCATAGGCTGGCTGGGAGAGGTTAGTATCCGATGTTTACAGGATAAAGTACACGATTCTAAAAAAAATGAACAAGGTACTTCTATAGTCTTAATTTCCTACCGGTAATTTTTTCTTTAAACGTTTCTGAGACATTCAATATTTTTATAATCACTGGAAAATAAAAAAATCTCATTTTCTAAATGTATCGTTAATTCCTCACCAATTGGCGTGGGAAGTAATAAGGCTTTTTCCACTGCTATAAAAAAATAGTTCGTCGTATTGTACGATTTTTATGGTATCTGAATGAGACTCTGGACCCTATGAAAAAGTTCCTATAAAAATTGGCGTCATGTAGATGGATTGTATTCTTCACATGTCTTCGTTATGGCGCTCAATACAATAGAACAAGAAGAAAATAGAAAAAGGCTTGAATGACATTGATTAGGTTGTTCACTTGAATACAATATCCATAAACCTCCATTTTTCAAAATATGGAAAATCAAATCAATTGTACAGGGTCCGGCAATGAAGTATGGTGTTTTTGCAACGACTATTACATGCAGCACTGTCGAGCCAATGTTTTCACGATGATTGATATCTACTCGTTCCGCGATGCCATTTTAGTAACCATGGAGCCGTGGTCTGTGGCACATCGCGTGTTTATTTACAACACTTTTATTGAAACTGGTCGTTCTGTTGTGCTCACACAGCGACGATTTCGAAACCATTTTAACGTTGGTCTGCATGGTCGCGTTCCAAGACGCGATACCATTTTGAAGTGGGTGAATAAATTTCAAACAACCGGATCGTTGAGACCTGGTACTGCAAGGGGAAGAGATCGAACAGTGCGAACTCCGGAAAACATTGAAAGAGTGCAACAAGCGGTGGATACTAGCCCTCACCGTTCAGCGGTACGTCACGCTCGCGCTCTTAAAATGTCAGATCGTTCAGTTCGCAGAATCTTCCGATACTGGGCACATGAAAACTCACGAAAACTGCATGAACAGCCTCTGCACTCTGAGAGGGTAACTGTTTGGTGTGCCGTATCTCGAAATTGCATAATTGGCCCGTATTTTTTTCGTGAAAACGGACGAACAGTGACAGTGAACTCAGATCGTTATTGCGCCATGTTGCGTGATTATTTTCTGCCCGAACTAAGAAGACGACGCATTGACATCAATACAGTTTGGTTCCAACAAGATGGGGCGACTTGCCATACATCAAGAGCTGCAATGGGCTTTTTCAGGGAACATTTTTCTGGGCGCCATATTTCGTTGCATGGAAATGTGGAATGGCCACCTCGGTCACCAGACCTTTCATGTTGTGACTACTTTTTATGGGGCTATTTAAAATCCAAAGTTTACATAGACAAACCGCAAACTCTTGAGGCTCTTTCGGAACTCATAACGCGCGAAATTGAAAGTATTCCTCGTGCCATGCTAGAAAGGAGTATGGATGATTTTGCAATCCGTCTCCAAGAATGCATCGACAAGAATGGACGCCACCTAACTGATGTAATTTTTCGCACCTGACTATGTTATGTTACTTAAATGGCATCATTCCACTAATGTATTAAAATAATAAATTTTGATGTATGTTTAAAAATGAAAGTTTGTAATTTTTTTCAAAAACACCATACTTCATTGCCGGACCCTGTACTTCCTAGCCAGAAGCTTCTTAATAATAGAACCGCGTTTACTGGTACTGAAAAACGAGGTCTGTAGAATTATTAATGAGACTGGCAGTGTAGCGTTCGATCTGGCAACACTGGAGGTGCCGGACTTGGAGGGGAGACAGAGCAACATGTGATCCGCCCTCAGTACAAGTTTCAAGTCGCTCGAGCCACTTGGTTGCCCACACCGATTTTTTTTTGAAACAGTTTTTTCTATTGTATTCTAACAATGTGCTGTCAGGTTTTGCTTTAGACTTGGACACAGTGCAGCTGGAACTCTTGCTAAATAACAGGTCTACGGAGATAGCGTTTTTCAGTGGTTTAAGGCATTTCCAGAAGAGAGAGAGTCGATTAAAGATGAACCACGAAGCGGAAGGTCTCATCGTCAAGAACCGATGAAAATATCGACAGGATCAGGGATCTTGTGCGTTCAGATGGTCGGTTAACAGTCAGAATGATCGGAGAAGGGTTAAATTTGCCTTAACACCACCGTTCAACAGATCAAGAACAACTGGGTGTTGCATCACGATAATGCTCTTTGGCACACAGTAATGTTAATAAACGAGTTTTTGGCCAGTCAAAAAAAAAATACCTGTGGCTCATCAGTCTGTTTGAGTTTTTTCTCTTCCCGCAATTCAAAAATCACCTCAAGGGAACTCATTTTGGGACTGTCGCAAACATTCAAATTGCTGTAAACGACCAGGCTATTCCAGTATCGGAGTTCCAGTAGTGTCGTCTCCATCGCTGTATGTCTTCAGAAGGAAGTTATTTTGATGGTGACAATACAAAATTGTAATTGTATTTTTATAAAAAAATTAAAAATGTCAGTCTCATCACTTAATTTACAGACACCGCCAATTTCAGTGGGAAGTGAAAGTTGTACAAGGTTCCCTGCACGAAGATACATGCTCTTGAAGAACCCTGCTTAACACATTGACCGCCGAAGCAGTCACTGGATATTGACCCGGAACTATTCTAATTGTGCCCTGTCAGTTATTAGGACACTATTCAATTTGTTAGTTGACGCAATCACTCATGAGTTCTGTGTTAAATTGTATTAGGTTTGCCTGAAGCAGAATGTTTCGAAATAAATCCTCGAGTTTTTTAGGCTGGCTGGCGTTCAATATGTCAATAAGAGCTCGGCGATTATTTTATTTGGATTTCATTATCACCGATGAAATAAGACATTAAAAAACGTTGTAATTCCATGAATTGCTTTCTCTGTTTTGGAAATTTGATATCAGAATCGTAACCAGCGATCCAAAAAATCCCCCCCAACTTTCCAGAACACTGGTCAAGTTTTAGTATGAATGTGTCATTTTCTTGTTTCAGGTACTGACGATCGATGCGAACCCCAACCCATACCATCGGTGATGGTCGGTCACGACAAAGACTGGCTTTCTCTGTCCCCCTACGCGCTACAACATTGGGAAAGCCTACTCCTGGAACCGTACTCTTACTCCAGGGATATCGCTTACATTGTTGTCACACCTGATAATGACGCAGTACTGCCTAGGGTACGGTGGTTCTTCCGGGAACTGTCTACGGCTTATGAAATGTGCAAGGTAAACCATTTATTTCTCCCGTAGTTCAGGAAACGACCATTTGACGTCTAAATTATTTCTCTGAGGCATGCTAATAGCAAATTCTCTCTATGGTACCGTGGCATAAGCGGATGGCGTACCAATAAGGAGTTGTGGGTTTGAATTCCCACCTACACAAAATTTTTTGTAAAATTTTCAGCATTCAACGGGCCAACAAAATGAAAAAAAATGTTTTGGCTTCGAAATCGACTGATTTCAAATATTGGGTTTTTCAATAGAGACTTGACAACTTTGCATTTTACTGTGAACGCACCGAACTGTCAATGTCAAAACATTCAGTAAAGAAAACATTTTCATGATGGTGATGTACACGAACGAACAACGATTAAAAATAATTAGAATTTACTACCGAAATTCCCTGTCGGTGACTGCAACTTTAAGAGGGTTAACGGCAATTTTTGGTCGTAATTCTTGACCGAGCAGACAAGCAATTCATAGTCTAGTAAAAAAAATTGAATCCACATATTCACTTGGTCGAAGTGAAGAGAATATTTCTGCCGTTCAAGCTTCCGTTTGAAACGAACAGAACACGGCGTTCTCAAGAATTGGGCATCGCTCAGACCACACTATGGCGAATTTTGTGAAGAGGTCTTGGCCTACATCCTTATAAGATCAAGTTAACTCAAGAACTGAAGCCTCTCGATCGTATGAACCGACGTACGTTCTCGAATTTCATCGCAAAATGATCTTCAGTGATGAGGCACATTTTTGGCTAAACGACTCCCGTCAACAAACAGAACATGCGTTACTGGTTAGGTGAAAACCCTCATGGGCTTCAAGAAACACCACTTCATACAGAAAAAATTACTGTGCCGGTGGTGTCATTGGGCAGTTTTTTTTTTTTTCGTTGATGAAAATGACCGTCACGTTACAGTCAACGGAGATGGCTACAGAGACATGTTGCAACGTTATTTTTTTGGTCAATTGGATGGGCTAGACATTAATGATATGTGTTTTCATCAAGCCACACAGCAGGTGAAACAATCGACATATTGAAATCAAAATTCGCTGAACGTGTGATATCGAGAAATGGTCCTGTCGATTGGCCGCCTAGATAGTGGGATTTGACACCTCTAGACTTTTTGTTGTGGGGCTACATTAAATCATTGTTCTATGCCAACAAGCCGGCACCGTTAGAGGAGCTCAGAGCCAATATTGAACGAGATATAGCGGCCGTTTCTGTTCAAATGTGTGGCCGAGTCATTGAGAATTGGGTTCAACGAATCGATCGCTACGTGACGTGCCCGTGGTGGACATATGAACGAGGTCGAATTCCATTCATGAATGTTTTGAGTATACTTCAATCCAATTATAAAATTTTCGAGATATTTCAAATGGTTTGCGTTTTCTTTAAAAAGAAACTTGTCCTTAATGGAAATATATTTCTGATATGCTGATTTTAAAAATATCTTCTAATTTTTCTTAGCGGCTCAAGTTTTCGAGATATAACTGATTTAATATTTGAAAAAATGCAAAATATCTGTTTTTCGGCTTTAAGACAGCTTACGTCTTAAAGTGTTTCCTGTTTTAAGGTGTAAGCTCCTTCACTATTTAATTAACATCATTGACATAAGTCAGGCAATTAAAAACTAAAGGTTTACAATAATAATACCTCCTAAAATGCCTTAGGATTTTGTTAGTCGATTAAGGTATTTAGAAATTTTGGCCACATCGATATTTTGATTTTTTCATATTGTTTTTCGGGGTCGTAAATGGCATATTGTGCCTTTTTTCAAATACATATATGGAAAACTAGAGCTGTCACGAAAAATACAAGTCATTTTTGGAATTAACAGCATCAAAAATACTCAATTTTTTTTCTTCTCCGACATCCAAATGGCTTTTGGGCTGTGTTATTTGAATATCTTGCGAGTTTTAATATCGATCTTGGAAGATTGCAATATTATTTTTTTTGTTGCAGTTGGGTAGGCACAGTCCCATCACCAAAGTTCTCAGGGACGGCATTCTTAGGGTAGGAAAAACAGCTAAAGCAAAAATAGGCAATGAACCTGTAGAAGAATGGTTTACGTTACTAGGGGAAAATGAAACTACGGATATGTTGAAGTTATATGCACAGGTAGGAATAGAATTTTTTTGAGTATGCCTCATCAACTGTGTAAATAAATAGATCTACAGAAATTGAACTTTGGTTTGTTTATTTGCTATTATAGACCAATTGACCACAGTTATAAAATCAGTCCACGGTAATATTATTCTAACGTGTTTTTTTTTTTAGGTTTGCAAACACCACCTGGCGCCTCACCTTCAACAGGTGCCTATGGATAAGACCCTTTTGGACCCTCCTCAAGAAAATTCCGACCAACCCACACCTAGCCCTATGCCGCCTCCAAGTACGCCTGATAACAGTGGCAGTCAGGGTAGCAGCAGTGATAAGGGGCCTATCACCCCTAAAAGCGACCAAGGTAAGCATCTTTAAAGATTATTTACAGAAAAAAATCAAGTGTATACAGGTATGGATGTAGTCGGGTATGATAAGTTCTAACGTGATGTATAAGTTCTGTTCTGACTTTAAAAAAATGGCGAAAAAATGTATGTATATTTTTTACAGAAGGAGACAGTTCAAAGGACAACCTCCCATCCAGCGGCACGTCCAGCTCGCAACCGGATTCGTCGAGCAGCCATTGCGACGACGAAGACCGTGAAGCGCCGTCTGTGGTGGTGTACCTGGTGGAGCCGTTCACTCTAGGCCGGGACCAGCCTGAACTGAGGCGTTTGGCCTACCTGGCGTTGCTCAGGTGTTACCAATCGGCGCTCGCAGCCATGCCGGAAGGGATCAGGAGCAATATTAGTGTGCAAGTAAGTCGGTTCTTAAGGAATTATACAGGGTGACTTGTAATGTCACGTATTCCTGTTAAGGGGTGATAGATTAGGTCAAAAGCAACCGATTTTGTCCAATCATGTCTTATCCAAAAGTTAACCATTTTTGAGTTATTTGAATTTCAAGTTTTTTATTTTTTATTCCGATTTCAGACCGTTAAAATTGAAATACAAAAAAACTGAATGCTTGATTTTGAGTTTTTTGTTATCGTCGCATAGCAGGCATTCCAATAGTTCATAATAAATAATAAAATGTTGACACGTTACAAACCTTTTAAAATTACGCTTTTTAAATGTATCATTTTCTTTTTTTTTCTACTAACTTATTCGATATAAAATGCAATTTTCTGTAAAAAATCTCCTAGTAATGAAATGTGCAAATTATGTAAATAATATCTCTATCTAACAAGCTTTGATTTGAAGTATTAAGCGTTCAATTATCTGAAGTACATGCAGAGAAACAACAATGACACCCACAGAGGTTGGATTTTTAAGGAATTTGTATTACCTGTTAGAGCAAGTCGTTACTGTCCTCAAAGGACTCGCATGCCATGATTGTTTTATGGCATCGGCTCGACGAGGAAGCGAGCGAGAAGAGCTGACTTAGTGGAGGAGTGTGTGAGAGAGAGCTGTTATTATTCATCATTGTAGTTACGCCATCGCCGCACGCCGAGTGAGAATTAGGTTAAGTTGGTATCAACTACTGCGTACGCGTACACGTTTTATGCACGATTATTATTTTTGAGTTTCCCAGTTCATTTCGAGTGGTTTCTTTATCATCATGGCAGACGCAGAAGATCCGCCAGGACCTCCTCATAGCGAGCACGGGCAAACTTTTACAAATGAAGAATACGCAGACATTGTTCTGTTATGGACTTTGTAACGGCGATTCTGCAGCTGCCCGCCGTGAATATCGGCAACGTTCCAAGAATCGCCGAACACCTCATGTTACTGTGTTTGACTCTGTGTATCGGCGCATCCGCCAAACCGGACGTGTTCAAAGGCAACATAGTGACGCTGGTCGACCCCGAGTCTATCCTCCTGAAGATGAAGAGGAAATCCTTCGTGTGTTTCAGGAAGATCCTACTACGTGTATGCGCATTGTGGCTGCTCAGTTGGGTATATCACAATACAAAGTATGGTTTACTGTGCATACTGCAAGATTATACCCTTATCACTACACGCCTGTGAATGTGATTGAAGAGGGCGATCCTGCACGACGATTAGATTTCTGCAGGTACATGTTACATGCAGATACAGAAGATCCAGACTATTTTAAGAAAATTCTGTGTACCGATGAATCGAAGTTTGATAAGGACGGGATCACTAACTACCATAATGCTCATTTCTGGGCTGATAAAGAAGCTTTAAACCCCCGAAAAATAAGACCGACGGGGTCTCAGAGCCGGTTTTCAGTCAATGTGCGGATGGGCATCATTGATGGATATTTAATTGGACCTCATTTTCTGCCCGCCAATTTAAATGGAGAAGTGTATGAAGAGTTCTTGAAAAATCACTTGTTTCCATTAATGGCGACGAGACAAAATATGCGGTTCCAGCACGACGGTTGTCCCGCACACTACATTGCCTGGCCAGCAAGAAGCCCAGATCTCACACCGATGGATTACTATGTGTGGGGACATATGAAAAGTCTGGTGTACGATGTTTCGCCCGTACCAACGCGCGATGAATTAATTACAAGGATAATCAGTGCAGCTGACCAAATAAAAAGCCGCTTAACAACTAGAATTAACAAAAGTGAATTACGTAAGAGAATGCGGGCGTGTATTCGTAACAGGGGATTACAATTTGAGCAGAATCTGTAAAATACTAAAGGAAATGTAATTAAATAACACTGTAAGTAAAATAAAAGCCTTTTATTTATCCTACGTAATTATCGTTCGTACAACTTCACTCATCTTTTTTTATTTTATATCTTTGTACTTGAGTTAGTTGTAACTTTTATACCTCAAGGGAGATTTTTTACAGAAAATTGCATTTTTTATCGAATAAGTTAGTAAAAAAAATAAGAAAATCATACATTTCAAAAGCGTAATTTTAAACTTTTGTAAGTTTTCAACATTTTATTACTAATTATGAACTATTGGAATGTCCGTTATGCGACGATACCAAAAAACTGAAAATCAAACATGTAGTTTTTTTGTATTTCAAATTTAACCGTCTGAAATCGGAATAAAAAATAAAAAAAAAATAAAATTCAAATAACTCAAAAACGGTTAACTTCTGGATAGGACATTATAGGACAAAATCGGTTGATTTTGACCTAATCTATCACCCCTTAACAGGAATACGTGACATTACAAGTCACCCTGTATACATTTAGGAGTAATGCACTATTTGAATTTCCTATCAGTTTCTCTTTCGACTCAACCAAAATTAGATTATATATTATTAGATTATTCAAATGCGAATGCACATTCGAATGGTTCGATAGAGGGGACCAAACTTGATTATTGATTTCTTCTTTTCAGATAATATCCTTAGAAAGTATAGTAGAATTGAATAAAGCAAGAGATAGGATGAGGCATAGCGACCATATGCGAGCCTTGGCGTTCAACATCTTCTCACAATGCAGGAGGCTCTTGGTACATTCGAATAACGTTAAATCTTTGACTGGTTTTGGTACGGCTGCAATGGCGGATCATTTCCTCAAAAACAAAGACGTAAGTATTCAGTTGCTTTTAAGTTTACTGGCGGAAAAACTGTTCATATTCGAACTTTTCGACAGGGTGTTGCAGATTGTTAACAGGATAATTTAAGGTCAGATTCAGCAGGTCGTAGTTGGGTAACATTAATTGGATTCACGAAATAACGAACGAGTAACTTCCCAACTAGCAAAGTAGTGCTATAGGCTTTTGGTAAAAGAACCGTTCAGCCATAAAAGCTCTCTATTGTTGTTGCCCGAACACCAAAATGCTGGCTTAATGTTGTGTGGAATGCAAATTTGCTTTCTGCAACATATTTGCTCTACAATGAGGTGTTTGAAATATTCTTATAGCATAGTTACACAACACCTTATAGGACAAAAATTTTAACTGTTGCATAAACGTTTATACGGTATATTTGCAGGTTAGTCAAAATGTTCAATAATAAGTTCATTTCTTCAAATTATTCGAATTATGATTAAATGACTTATAATCAATAAAAATAAAACGTGGATCAATAGTTTTAAATTTAAATGCGTATTTATTTTCATTTAGCATTTTAAAAATAGATTTATATTTAATTAGTTTCTTAAATCATTTTTCATCACCACTTTCAGTCAAACATATTTTCGGACAGTCTGTTCGACTTTCACAGGCTTATCATCGTAACCTTGGAAAATTATTTTTATCTCAGGAATGCGATCAAAAACCTTGAAACTGGATTTTTTTCAGCAAGACAATGAGACAATCTATCAGCTCTGATTCGAAGTCAAAAATCAGTTCTGGATCAGCAGCAACTCTATTTTTAGAATATTTCTAATTTTGGGGGAAATTTCTCTTGCTATTTGCTCAGCATCTCTTATGCCATCTGTCTGCCAAATAGTTATATAATTGATACAGTAAATTTTCAGTAATGATTCAAAATTAAGAATAAAATGTTTTTGTAGACTTTTTCAGGAATAATTTATTCATGAATGAATGATTTACAAATAAGTATGTTGCTGAACTCAACACCTGAAAATATCAAGAAGTAATAGGTCCTTATAAACATTGGTTCGGAATTTGCCGTTTCTATAACTCCGACTTTGTAAACGTATGCTACTAATTTTTGCAAAAATAATTGTTTTCTTCTAAAGTGTCTGGCGTCTGTTTGTTAATAATGATAAACATTATGGACAGATTGATGTCGCCTTCGACCATGCAACACATCACTATCTCCTTTTTGAGTAATGTGGAGTGCATCATCAAAGAGAAAATGTATTATGGAAACGAAGCTTTTTTAGGCCTATGTGTATTTGAACTTTTTCCTATTTCAGAGTGCTGCATCTGCGTCTTGAAAATAACACAAAATTCAAGTTGATTATTACTATGAAATTTTAGCATGTAATTATTTTAGAACATGCATTTCCTGCTATTTTGACAATTGTTTCTTTTTTAAAAGCCCAAATTTCGCAATTTTTTCATTTTTGTCTAAAATTCACTCATTTTCGAATATTCTTTTTTTCTTCAAATCTTCTTTGTTTCAAAACACACTAAGATACAAAAAAACTTGAAGTATAGCTCCTCTGCGCAATAATTGCTTTATAATACAAAATTATTTTTCTTTTTAAGGAGAAAAACCGCGCTCCCTACAAACTCTACACCCCTCCGTACATCCTAGCGCCCACTAGGGGCAAAGTAGAGGCAGCCGAGGCGTTCGGAAAAGGTGCCCAAGACCAAGCCTCTGTGCTATACCTGTCGTACTGTCTCTCCGAAGACCAAAGCTGGCTGCTAGCGTCGGCCACGGACGATCGGGGGGAGATTTTCGAAACGATCAACATCAACGTCGATATACCGAACAGGAGTAGGCGGAAGAAAGCTTCGGCCAGGAGAATCGGCTTGGAGAAGTTGATGAACTTCATCCTTGGGGTTATGTCGCAGAGCGTCAGGCCGTGGAGGCTGGTTGTTGGAAGGCTAGGTAAGCGAAACTGATATGTTGGTAATTTCTCACCAAAAGCAACTCAACTTCAATTAGATTCCTACTTGTGGATAACATTATGACATTTTAGCTTACGTTCGGATCTTAACCCCAAATCAAATCATTCTTTTGAAGTGATTCTATTGGATCAGCAGTGTTGAATAAAAAATAATACATATGTTGATAAATTGTTTTGATTGTTGTTGATTTCTGAAATATCTTACTTTGCTTTAGTCAGGGTTTTTAAGACGGAAAATAATCCATAATTATTCCGTATTCTTACTACGTGACTTTTGTCACAAGCTTTAAACGAGACGAAACAGGGTTGAAGTCGATTAATGCCGGTTTGCCCTTGGTGAGAATAAATCCTTAGACCTCCTTCAATGATATGCATCATAAAGTTAAAACTTATTTCTCGAAATAGAATACGAAACCGCGACTTTAAAAGCGCTGATAACAGGGCACAGTTTTATGTTACGTGGATGGTGAAAACGCGGGTTTCACAACACACTGTTAAGCCGCGTACAGACCGAAAATCCAACGCCGAGCAAACCAATGCAAGCACATGTGACGTTGGCGCTTGTTGATGGAAGGTATTGGAATGCGCTCGTCTGCACTATACCTGCAACATGGTCCAAATTGAATATGAAAAATCAAAAATTAAAGTTTCTTATGGTGACAAATAGCAATTACAGGCCAAAAAATATTCTAACAATGTATACCATATAAATATTCAAGGATTTTTATCGCACAGGGATGAAGTTATAAATTTTTTAATATTAGTGAAACCATTAGTTCTTTGCTTGACTCAAACACATATTACAGAAGATATTGAAGATATGGAGATTGATATTCATCATTATGATGTTGTAAGAGTAAACACAATTTCGAAACATACAGGTGGCATACTAATATACACACTGAGTATGATTGAAATAAAAACACATAATCCTGTAGTTGTTGATTATCAATGGTGGTATATTGATTTTGAAATCAAAATGAAACAAAATTACAATATACACGTTTACTACAGATCTCCAAGCTGTAATATCAGCCGATTTTTGGACTTTTTTTAGAGTGTTTGTGAAAAACAGTATTATTGAAATTGCTCCACTGTACACTTGGGAGACTTCAATATAAATTTTGATAATCAAGATTATCATGTAAAAAAATTTAAGCAGATACTGAACGTTCATGGTCTATGGCAAACAGTTAATGATTACACAAGGATTACAAACTTTTCACGAATTAAGATCGATTTAATAATAACCACTGAACAGAATTTGAGTATTAAGGTTTTACATACTCCAAAAATAAGTGACCATTCGTGGATATGTTTCGAGGTGGAAAATATGTTCAATGAGAGAGAATCAAGAGAAATCACAATTATTGACTTTGAAACGTTACGAGAGTCACTCTTACAAGCCAATATCACTGAAAAATCCAACACTCTGGTTTTCACAAATATTTCTAGACTCTAAATTGAGACGCGTGATAATGACTATAAAAAGTTTATGATCACTCAAACTGAGGAAGATTGGATACAATATAAGAAATCAAGAAACAAGTGTTTAACAAATCTTAGGAACGAAGAGAAAAAATATTATGAAAACAAAACGACAGCAATAAAAATATTAGTAAAATGATGTGGAAGACACTAAAATATATTGTATCTCCCAGTAGGAAGAATGAATTATCAAGAATGTGTTTCGAAGATGGCTTAGTAAAAAAAAAATTGATTGCAGAACGAATGAACGCTTATTTTCTAAAAAGTATAAATGAGATAGTGGAATCAATCGAAGATGGGGATCCAAATCTATGTCACATGCAAGTTACTTATAATTCTTCTATGAGACAATTCCAAACAATAAATATCAGCCATCTTTCAAAAGCTATTACAAGATTGAAATCCTAGTGAACATCTTTCAAAAATGGTTATGAAGGAATGTTTCAACATTATTGGATAGAAGTTATTATTGTTAGTGAACCACTGTTTAGTGTATGACGAATTTCCTTCAAAATTAAAATGTTCTACAATTACTCCTGTTCCGAAAGTGCAAAATTCTGAGTTTTATACAAAAATGCGGCCAATTAATGTACTGCCAGATGTCGAGAAGCTCTTAGAAGGAATCATATATAAACAAGTTATTGAATATATTGAAGAAAATAAGATATTGACAAAATTTCAAGCAGGATTCAGAAAAAAGTATTCTACTGAAACAGCAATTCAAATGGTAGTAGAAGAATGGAGGCGAAATGTGGATGAAAAAAAGTTTACAGTAACATTGTTCTTAGATTTCAAGAGAGCATTTGAGACTATTGACAGGGAGAAATTGTTAATGAAATTGCATTGCTATGGATTTCAAGGTTCAGTATTCAACTTATTACATAATTATTTAATCAATAGAAGTCAAAGAACTAAAATTGGCAATACATTATCAAACATTAAAAACATTTCGGTAGGTGTGCCACAGTGTAGCAAATTAGGTCCATTACTATTTATTTTATATATTAAAGATATTCCTGATATTTTATATCACTGCAAAATTCTACTATTTGCTGATGATACATTAATATATGTATATATCAAATAAAGACATTGAAACTGCAATAAAGCTGTTAAATAATGATATAAAAAACGTAATAAATTGGTTAAATGTAAATAAACTTAAACTAAACACAAACAAAACAAAATATATGCTAATAGGAAAATCTTTAGATCGAAATAAGATAAATCTTACAATTAATCATGAAAAAATTGTGTCAATCGATTCATTTAAATATTTGGGCATATACGTAGACAGTAATTAAAATTTGAAGGTCACCGTATTAGAAACTGTATAGAGATCCAAAACGTTTGTGGCAATATCCAGAGTCTGTCCGAATATGTAATTAGTCTCCGTTGCTCCATTTAAAGTCGGCATGAATAATATTTATTTACTCAATGTACAAAAAAAAACAACATGAGTAAATAAAATGAGGCGTTCTTACAATTTGCATTATACGAATGCCATTTACTTTATACATCCAAGCTAATGCGAAGTTTGAAGTGTTGCGCTTCTCGGCGTTCGTATAGCATGTCACTAAAACAGTGGTGATACGAAACATTCGATATTTACCCTGATACCAAAACGGAAGAGAGTAACTTAACACATCGTACGCCACTGCTAATCCGGCCAGCCTTTGTGTCGACAACGTGGGTGCGCGCAGATCCCGCCGTATTCACAAAAAAAGCCGCGTTAGCCATGGTGTACTATGTAATATGCTACTTCTCTTACATTTCAGTACGGGCCTATAGCCAAACATTTTTTGATATTTGTCGGTATTGACGTCTTATAAATTTCCATCGTCTTTTTTTCAGGTCGGATTGGCCATGGTGAACTGAAAGGCTGGAGCTGGTTATTGAGTAGGCGAAACCTTTTGAAAGCCTCTAAACACCTTAAAGAGATCTGTAATCAGTGTTCAATGATGTATCCCTCGGCCGTTCCTTGCATTCTAAGCGCATGCCTTGTCAGCCTAGAACCAGATTCCGTAAGTACTGTTTCAACACCTATCCAATTTTTCGTTCAAAGTATCATTTTACAATAATTGATAAAGAATGTTGTAGTATCTATATAATTTTTTTGTAGGTATTACGCCTGATGCCTGACCAATTTACGCCGGACGAACGATTCAGTCAAGTTTCTGTGAATTCTCAACTATCCACACCTCAAGATGTTAGCTGTACGCATATCCTTGTGTTCCCAACGAGTGCAACAACGCAATCCTCGCAGACAGCTTTTCAGGTATGACATTTAACATAACCTAAGTTTACACATCCGCGACAGATTTGCTTTGCGGTTAATTTTTACTTACAGTCTATCTTATTACAGAATGACATCTTCAACCTTATTTTATATTTAAGCGCAATAAAACTACGAGTATTAATTAAAAAACAAAATGAAAAAAAACACGCGGCAAATGTAAAATATTGAAATCCAACGCTATTGGCGTGACTTGACCCTTTGTTGATTCATCAGGGGTGCTTTTGTAAATCACTTAGTAATGTACGGCTTTTGCACGATATAAACAAGCATATGCAGCTCTGATGGAAAGAAACATCGAGGAAGTCGCATAGTCTTAGTGCATCATACATTTGACGTAGGAGTGGAAGGAGGCAGGGTCATACTGGCTCATTTATTGCTTTTATATAAAGCTTTGGTATCTATGTTACTAAAAAAACATACTGTGTATAGGATATAAACATCCTTATTAACTAATTTTTTTGTTACAGGAGCAACACATCACCGCCGACCTCGGCGACGACGAACTCTTCTCCCCGTTCGGCGAGGACATCGTCGACGACGAATTCAACGACATCTTCTGGGGCGACTTCGTTGCAGGCGGCGGTCAGTCCCCGACGGGCAGCCCCCGCAGGGACGGTTCGCCGACCGGCGGCAGTCCGCAGGGGTGCGGCGGAGGCGGCGCCGGCGGTGGGGGCGGTTCCGGAGGCGGCGCTGGTGGTGCTGGCGGACATGCGTCCGGAGGCAGGGACGGCCAGGGCGGCAGCGGGGCGCATCATAAGCAGAGGGAGGCCGCCGAGGAGGTAGGTGACATATTTGTTTAAAAATTACCTTTCTAAGGAGTAGTTTTTGATACTCAGGATTACTTTCATGTTGGCCAACTCTGCCGCAATCGTCGAAGAAATTTTCCAAGTCGATTTTTCGTTTGTCGCATGCCCTTTAATACAGTGGTGTATCTAGCACTTGAGTGTGGGGTGGGGTAATGATTTCCGGCAAGGTAATTACGTAAAAACCTATACAGGGTGACGGGAAAATAGATGCGGAGCCGGTGGGGGGAGATAGTACAAGCCAATCTGAGTCGATTTTACTATAGGAACTACTGTCCGAAAATTAGCCGTTTTCGAATTATACTAATTTTTAAGATTTTATAAAATTAACGTCCTTTATACGTCAACCAAGTCATAAAACTTGAAAATTGGGTGTTTCATTTGATTTTTTTTGGTATCACAATAAAAATATTCTAAAATACGAAAATTGATACTCAAATGTACATTATTGACGTTATCTCATACAGTAAGCTTCAAAATAGTTAAATTTTTGTTAAAAAAAATCTTCGTTCATCTCAAAAACTCAATTTACTAGAAACAATCACCTAGAAATTTTTCGTGCAAAACAATATCTACGTTTCATTACCTTTCAAATGAGGTATCAAAGTCACAAACCGGTTTAGAAATGACAAAGATATGAGTGAAGGAAACAGGTAGAGCCGCGAACATCGGACTTTGCCACCGGAATAGTGTGATAAGTAAGACTAGTAGTCACCCCCTACCTCCCTCGCTTGAATCTGCTTTTTCGATTTGTTGCGTTCGGATGTGTTTGTTTGCTCGCTGTTTTGATATTTCTAACGACTTGGCTCTTGTTGGACTACGAAAATTTCTTAAGAAATGTTCTATTTGAATTACTTGAAGACGTGCCGCTACACACGACACATAATGATTTTTCAGCATGACGGGTGCCGAGCACATTTCAGACTGTGTTAGAAATTGGTTAAATGAGCAGTTTCCGAATCGATGGATCGGTAGAGACTGACCAATCCCATGGCCAGCACGCAGTCCCGATCTCACAACTATGGACTTTTTTGTGTGGGGTCGCATGAAAACTTTAGTATACTCTGATCAAAATCCTGTACCCACAATAGAAGACCTCAGAATCAGGATAGTAAATGCAGCACAAGAAATTCAAGCCTCTCTTAGGAATTCGGCGGTAGTAAAATCAACTGTCATAAGAAGAGCACGTGTGTGCATTAGAAATAGAGGGCGCCATAATGGAAATGTAGTATAAAAATAAAAAATGTAGTTTCAAACAAATTATCCTCTATTAAGGTATGATTTTGTAAGTGTAGTATTTTTTATTGCTTTTTCCTTCCTCCTCTTATATTTTTGCAAATTCTTAATCGATTTGTGATTTTTATACCTCATTTGAAAGGTAATGAATTATTATTATTTTGTACGAAAAATTTGTATGCGACTTTTTCTAGTAAACTGAAACTTTTGAGATGAACGAAGATTTTTTTAACAAAAATCGAACTATTTTGAAGCTTACTGCATGAGATAACGTCAATAATGTATATTTGAGTATCAATTTTCGTAGTTTAGAATATTTTAATTGTAAAACAAAAAAAAAATCAAATGAAACACCCAATTTTCAAGTTTTATGACTTGGTTAACGTGTAAAGGACGTTAATTTTATAACATCTTAAAAATTATTATAATTCGAAAACGGCTAATTTTCGGACAGTAGTTCCTATAGTAAAATCGACTCAGATTGGCGTGTACTATCTCCCCCCACCGGCTCCGCATCTATTTTCCCGTCACCCTGTATAATGTCAAAAAACGACCAAGGGATTTTCTGTTCTTACCTCTCTCAGTTTTGAAATTCAACGAATTTGCATATGCAACTACCAAGATGAATAAGAAAAAGTGGATGCGCAACTAATTTCTAGCTTTGCATACATCTCAAGTAAGTGTATATGAGAGAAGAAAAAACATTTAATTAGACAATGCTTCGAGGGTTAAGTTTATTTTTATTTTCACGAAAAGTTTTGAGTGACCGGCAAATATTGAAAGCTCTTTGCAACTAAATGCTTCGTGAAATTTCTGCTCTGGACTCACCCATTAGGAAACCTCTAGTGCGTTTTTTCGGAGTAATAGATCGGCGAAAAAAAAATGGCAATTTTATCAATATTTTGTATCGTTCAGGAGGAGGGGGGGTTGAGGGGGTCTTTCTTCCTTATACACCCCACTAAACGTAATAAAAGTTCGTAATACCTTGTATAGACAAAACTATTCGCCTTACTTGAAACCGCCTGCACTTTTGGTTAAAGAAATGTTTTGAGTTGGACGACTTGGTAATCTATAGACAAAAACAAAGTATTTTCTTTCATTCTAATAAAATTGTCTTTTTCCCCTAGGTCGGTCAAGTCCTGCAACAACCCCTCGCCCTCGGCTATCTGGTATCAACAGCACCGACCGGCCGCATGCCGCGCTGGTTCTGGTCCTCCTGCCCCCACCTGGAGGGCGTCTGCCCTGCCTTCCTCAAAAACGCCCTCCATTTGCACAGTCCGAACGTGCAACAGAGCAGCGACGAGTTCTTCCAGCAGTCTACCAGCGCTGCGGCCTCCGTTACCTCGCATCCGCTAGATTCGCAGTACACCACTGACGTTTTGAGGTGAGCAGATTGATATTTATTTATGGCAATGTTAACGAGCACGTATAAAATAAACAAAAATCGGGCCGTGAAATAGAATCTTCAAAGCTTAAATTTGCGTTTTAAATCCGACATTTATAATTTATATTTATATGATATAATACTTTCACAACTTTTTCAGGATGTTTATTATTTTGTAACCAATACTTCATATTTTTTTTAAACACGCAGAAAATTGGTTATTCAAACTTTGACGTTTAATAAAGCTACCCAGCAAAACTTTTTTCTATCTTTAGACAGAAAATATTCTTATACATTTTTTTAACAGGGTTCGTTTGGCTAGACGGCTCGATCTATATGATGAGAATATGACATTTATCGAGTGATACGCGTATTTTTTATATCAGTACATTAGTTTTTTACTGAAATATGAGCAAATTTGTCCGCCGCTTTAGGCGTTTTCGAGAGGCCATGATGCCAAATTTCTGTCTGTAATTAATGTTTCTGATAGTCCATCTCCGCAACTGCGCGGAAAATATTTTGATCCTTTTTTTGCATAACGCATTCAAAATAACCTCTTTTAAAGAATCAGGCCCAGCATTACGTCAAAAATCGTATGAACAATTTTTATATTCTCGTTTATTTTTTGGGTCATCCTGAACAAAAAAAACCCTTATAAGCTTTTCTCTATATCTATAGTTTATAGTTTTAGAGATGTAAGGGATTTAATATTTCAAAAAGTGCAAAATAAACTATTTACGATTCCGAAAAACAATATGACAACAAAGGAAGCTTGTTGCCAAAGTTCTTAAACATTCTTCAAACATCCATTAACAGAATCTGAAAGGATTTTGAGGGTATTGTTATTGTAGGCGCCCATATACTGCTTCTTTGTCGCGCCTAAATACTTTTTGATTTATTTACTTAGTAGATGTTTGTAGAATATTTGACAACATAAATTTTCCTTTATTAATATTGTTTTTTAGGGTTGAAGATGAAAAATTTAGCACTTAATCAAATATTAAATCGCTTATATCTCGAATATTATCAGCTTCAGAGAAATGTTCATACAGACGTTAAAAAACAAAAAAATACAATATTTGTTATTTGTTTAAGATAAATTGTTCAAATAATTATTGACGCAATTATAGACCTGGCACCGGCGGGCCGTCGGCGATCCAGCTCTCTTCTACCGCTAGACCAACGGGCTTTGCTCCTTAGAGCTCTCTTCCATGATGCTGCTGCGCGATAGGCCTGCCAGACAGACCCGCCTGACTTTGGCCTTCCCATCCTAACCGTGTCGAGCTTCATACAACCAGAACTGGCCGATACGACCGCTCCTTTGTTCCGAGGGTGTCGAGATTGTGGGACAATCTACAAGAGGAAGCTTTTCCCAGTTCTACGAACCTTAGGCAGCTTAAAAATCGGATTAACAAAATTTATTTGGGATCATCATAGCAGCCGCGGTGTTCCGGCATTTTGCTTTGGCATAAAAAAAAATGCATGAATTGAATATTTTTCCGAGCAGATGCAAATACAGTTCCAGGACTACGAGTACTGTACTGAAGATTATTATTTTCTTTTTCAGATACGTGCTAGAAGGTTACAACGCCCTCTCGTGGCTGGCACTGGACTCTAACACGAAAGATCGACTGTCCTGCTTGCCGGTCCATATGCAGGTGTTAGTGCAGCTATACCACACGGCCGCGGCGCTCTTGTAAACCGCTGAAACGGTGTGCATAAAAAAAAACAATCTGCCCGGCGTCGTGAATTCTCGGTCAATCGTTCATTTTTTTAAATGTTTTAACTAGCGGACTATAAGAGGTTCGGGAGTTCATGTTTAACTCGTATGAGACAAAATCGATACCTCTGCGTAAAAAACCGTTCGCGCCATCGAGTGTTTTGGAACCCGCTCAGCTACGCACTGCCAGGATATATCCGCTCACCTATAGCCAGCCGCGATTAATCCGCTTAGTTACAGCTTGTTCGAAAGTTTTTACAGCAGAAAACAGCACAAACTACGAATTGAACTGGCACGACGTTGTCAGGAAAACATCAATTAACGATTCATTCATGAAAGTATGAAATCTGAGGACGAAACTTTACGCAACACAGAAGTACCTATATCACTTAATTGCAAGGTATTATCGAATTGTCTCGCAAAGCAAAACTTTCACAACCCGTGAGCGCATTCGGGAGGACGCCATCGGACAAGCTGTAGCTGAGCGGTTTGATCGCAACTGGCCAGACATGAGCGGAGGTATTCTGGCAGCGCGTAGCTGAACGAGTTTAAGTGCACTCGGTGGCTGAGACCGACTGAGGAATTGAAATCATACACTCGAGTAGTATCTGAATTTTCCTATTTACGCTTTTTGATTTAGAAGAATTGGCTGACTGCAACAGTCATCTAGAGGTCAGCCTTGTAAAAATAAACAGGTACTACGATTTTTAACTGCGGCGAAGACCCTAAAATTTTAGGCTCTTTTGGAATCTCAAATAAAAATAGTGCAGTTTGTCAAACAGGACCTATTTATTCACAAATGTGAACCTAAATTCCTGGACCTGAATAGTCTGTAGCTTTTGAAATTTGTCCATTGTGGAGTCGAAACTTGGTTTGTTGTTTGAATGCCATTTCTACAGGTGTCAAATAAACGTTTAATTTGCAACGAAAATGTTCACCTTTATTGTGGATATTGACAATTTTGGGCGGAAATAAAATTTTCGATAAGGCACAAGTTGTTATTTTTTCTGTTAGAGTCTTCCTGTTAGATAGCAAAGTGGCATTTGAAAACATACAAGAAAGCAAATTGAAGGCCTTAATTTCTTATGATGAAACTACATTAAGGATTTAGAACTTTTTGAAGTTAAGAAAACGCGATTACCTTAGCGTTTTTTTTTGCTTTTTCTCTGTACCCAATAGGTAGCTAAATCTGTAGTTTCAAAGTTCGGATCTCTTGATAGGTGAATCACGGGGAATAATGCGTATATCTTTGTGTCTATAAAGTAATTTTCAACCAGAATAAACGCAGAAAAATACTCAAATTAGAAGTGACGTAAATATTGATATTTTTTTAATTGATAGCTGTAAATATATGTTATATTTTTTAACTGTAAAAAGATCCGTTTTTATGTGTACAAACTGAAAATTGTGATATTTAGAGGTTAATTTTTAGAAGTTTAAAATTTTTAAATAGCGCCGACGTTTTAAGAAAAACAAATGAATTAAAAAAAACTGCCAGACGACGCCGTTTCAGTGATTTGCAAACATGCGTTGAGACAGTGTGCGTGTTAAGAGATGAATATTGTTGTTGAAAATATTTATTTGTTGTTAGGTTTTCAGTTTTAACATGTTTTTAACCATGTAACTATGTAAATTTTGTACAAGACATAATTTATTTTCATTTGTCCTTTTTATTTTATTTTCTTGTTGGACGGCCATGATCTTGTAAAGCTAAACAGAATCGTATTTGGTATGTAGCTACAGTCCAACCCACTTGTTTTCCTGAAATATCTCTCAATTTGTGCATTGATAGTTTTGAGGGGAATTGATCAAAACTACATTACTCATGATTCAAATAAAATATGACTGACATTAACCCTGGCTATTCCGCAAATTGTAATTCTGGCTAGGGCTAAAATACTTTGCACTAAAAACGCATAGCTTTTCCAGATAAATAGGTCTTCCATTCATTCGTACACATTTTTCCCAATAAGTGGGTGGATACCAGACAGCTTGTTATCATTTTTACCTGAGTTTAAGCTTGCCATGCGCGTTCAAAAATTGACTATCTTATCGTTGTATGGTCAGCTTATACTTTTGTAAGAATGGTCACATCGTGACGTCAGTTGTCTTTCTAAAAAAAGTTCTTATCGAATAATTGTACCACTTCTGCGTAGCTTACGGATCTGTGCCTCTTGTGTATATAAAAGAATGTACAAAAAGATAAAAAATAGACTGAGAATGCTAATATGCAACAGTGACCTATCAAAATTTTTACGTAGCATGACTACCAACGTCAGGTGCGACAATTCTCTTATAGAAATGTTCGTTTATGTATTCCGTCAATAACGCAGCTGAATTGTCATACTTGTCATTATTTTTTATCTAATAACATAATAGCGAGAATTCACCTGTAATCCATTTGATTTTAACATCGATACTTGGTCGCTACCTTTACCTTTCTAATTTTATTTCGTGGTGTATATGGTGTCTCAAAAATGTTTCAAACGAATGACCTTACTATGGTCTTCAACGTCAAGATGTTTTCAAATGGAACCTTGTTCGTCTCGGAATTGAAAAGATTAACAAATTTTACGTTCCAGTGTGATCTTGATCATTGCCTCCAAGGACATTTAAAGGTCAAATTAAGACATTGAGAACAATTTGATCTAGTAAAAATGTTCCACAACACAGTTGTGTGGTTTGTTGGTATTACCCTTAAAGTCAAGTCAAAACACACTGGAGATGGAAAAATCAGGAAATTTTACTCCCGAATGATGTTTACGCTTGACACGACTGACTCTAAGGTCAAGGTCACATACGGACGTAAATTTTTTGCTTTTTCCATTTCGAGTATAAAAATGAGAGGTTTCCTTCAGAAATTTTGGCGTGCAGTTCACAACTGCTGTCCATCTTTTTGCTAGAGCAAATTGTTTAAGATGTCTTAATTTGACCTTGAAATGGGTGTGAAGGTCAATGCGAAGGTGATGCTAGGACATACAATTTATTCCTCTTTTCAATTCTGATTTGAAAAAGGGGGGTTACATTTGAAAACATTTACTTGACCTTAAAATGATTACCCCCAAAACCCTACACTTTTCGTTTGAAACTTTTTTCCTAGAATGAACAGTTTTCGAACTATTTGAGTGGGCAGATTAAAATGGGACATTATATATACCCAGATGGGATTTGTATCAAATATATCCAAAACATATGGCAACAAGTCAAGAGGTTATTCTTTGGGCAGCTTTAAGACTATTGTGTCCTTTGACTATATGAAGAAATCGTCCTTGTTTCAAAGCTTCAGGGCGCACAAAATTTTCAAAATAACACTAGTTGGTGAGGTCACATGACATGATAATGTGTTTCCGCCTTTTGGGCAAAATAGTCTTACGATATTAACGTTGAGTTCAACATAAATCATTTTTAGTTGCCCCTGTAACCATCTTAAAGGTTTTGGCTGTTGTTGCCCTACATTGATATCTGAAAAAAAGATTCCTCATCACTTCAAAATTTTATGTTAACGAAATCGGGTATATTTGAGTGTAAAAGGTGATGATCGAAAAAAAAATGGGTTTAAGGTTTTTTGAGTTTTGCGTGTGTAGCAATATAATCAAACCTGCGTGAATATTCTAATGTAATTTCCGAAAACGCTGTTTTTAAAATGCGCTTTTACGTGCAAGAAAATGGTAAAGATTTTACACCGATGAGAAACAAATTAGATGAATTTGTACATAACATAATTTTTTAATAATCAAAAGTTTTTTGTCAATTCCTAGATCGCTTTTCTTTGCAATACTATAAAACTTGACCAAAGTAGGTTAACATAGAACAAACGTTTTATCAAGTACTGGAACTGTGATATAAAAAGTCAACCATCATTACATACGATTTTTTTTGTACATCACATAAGAGGAAATTACTGTAAAGCATTTATGAAATCTGCGTGCTGCTTTTCCAACATTGAAAACTCCGTAAATCACGAGAAGAAAATTCAATTTTTTCATAAAATAACTTTTTTGTGAAAACTCAATTTTTCTGATGCAGAAAGTACAAAAAATAATAGAAAGTTTATATAGAAGTCCTAAATCTTACTATAGGCGCGTGGTTTTATCTTTATACTGTATGTTTGAGCATCTATTTAAAATATTTAGCAAGAAAACTCTTAAACAAGCGATTTCGGTCAAAGCGGATCGGATCCGTATTGTAGCAAAATTAGTTTTGAATATCTGAGGTAAGGTACGTGTAAAAAACTTCAATCCATTCTACTTTGAAAATACGATGAAGTTAGTGAAGCTAGACATTGAAAATTGTACGATTTGTATTAAGAGAGTCAACTCATTTCACCAAGCAATATAAATTAAAACACTCTGCATCTGGTAAAGATATACGTCTATCGAAACTTATGTTATTTTTTAGAAAAATTGACATTTTTTGAGTCACTATGGATTCTGAGATCTATTCACCGATTTTTCGGCATTAATTCTTTTTCATATGTAATTAGTATTACAGTTCCTGGTCCATTACAAATGACAGACCAATGTTGTCTTAAAATGTAACAAAGAAAAGCATCTACTAATGAATAGAAATAGCAAAACGTTGGTTAACCAAATTGTGCGTATAATATTAAGTGTTTAACTAACCATAATGTTAACTTTGCTGGGGCCAAAGACTTCAAAACGTATCTTATAATTGTTGCCTCAGATATAAATGAAATTTGAACAAACACGATTGAAAATGTTGAAGCTCAGTTTTTGATTTTGAGTAAAGATAATGGCCGCATGACTTTTAATTTTTTCGTTACCTTTATTTATTTAGTTTAGAGATGCAATCATTGCTCAAGATCTCTGGAATGCTCCGTGTTTTTTTTTTTTCGTTGGTTGCAATGAAAATGTGATCCTTAAGTTCATCAAAGCAGTTTAATGGAGAACTTAACTAGCAGTATTTTTAATGTTCTTTTGTTATTCGCAATCATTTTGGTTGATTACTTACCCCTTATATTATTTATATGTTTAATTATTTAAAAGGTGTCTTTTTATTAATATGACAGGTTTAGGACTGTTATTATATTGTTCAAAAAGATGGAAAATGAAAATGAGTAGAGCGTTCAAAATGAGAAACGTTTTTTTGTACATACTAGTTACTGTTGTAAGAATATGTCAATTTTAGGGAATTGGGAATATATAGTTAAACAAATTTGTACATATTTTATTGACATTAGTTGAATTAGAAAATACACATGAAATGTTAATAACTTTATAAATAATTATATACATATTACTTAGGTATTATTAATAAACCACTCAATGAGTAATTATAGCATCGTTTCTTTTACCATCTCTGTGTAATCCAGAAGCAAAGGATATTGAGTGACAGGTAATCAGAAGTTGACAATACATCAAAAATAACGCGAATGACGTCATATCTGATTACAGACCTTATGTAGCCTGATGAAAAAAATGGCGACAAGTACGTTGACTCTGCACTTCGCACGCAAAGCTATCATCGGTTCATAAAAATCATTTTCAGCATAAGTTAGCTGTCAGCTCCTTTCAGAAAAAAAGCTAAACTGCGATATGCTTAAAGCATTAAATAGATCAAGTCAGTCTAATAGGCCTATAAAAATTCGTCCCCAGTTCCAAGCCATTTAATAAGCAACCATAACGTTGCTACAGGATTAACGATGAGCAAGTCCGTCCATGATACTGTGGGCGCTTCGTTTTATTCAACGATGGGTACACCAATGGCATCAAAACTGTTTTTTTTTTCATCGCTGGATTCCATCAAGGCGTCTTTTATTCCTAATCGATCTGTTTGTGATGTTATCGCCATCCGTAGGTAGTTTGTGCTGAGATACTTTCCAGTGACCCTGTTGAATTACACCGAGTAACTCGGAGTCAGTCGTGCTCAGCGCCAATACCGTTCCATTGCACGTTGTATTCTCATTCATTGTTTCTGGAGCAGTCCAGGAGCGTATCACCCTCAAACCAATAACCGCTGGCAAGCAGCTCTGGTGGAGTGATCGACATGACATTGAAATATGTAAATTGGCGACAAAAAGGCACATACAAATTTTTCACCAAAATACTTGAAGTCCTCGTTGGTTGTAGACAAACATTATTCTGGACGGGAAGTTAATACCATGTACACTTGTTAATCAGGGTTCAGAAACCACTGTTGCATTGACTTTGGAACAAATAACAGACAGTCACTTAGGTAATCCCACTTTTGTGTATTTACTCTCATAGAACAGATTGATTTCTTCTTACGTGACACAAGAAATCTTTAGAGTATTTTCGTTTATTATCCATATTGCAGAAGTGCCGATCATATATCGAAAACGTAGCAAATGCAATATTTATAAACTAAATATACTTAATAACGGTTTGGCAGCAAAATAATAACAACGGGTCAGCAATTCCTTCATTTGTTTCTACATTGATGGCAATCCATTAGATGGCATCTTCGCCAGCAAAGTTTAGCTCTGACAGGTTCATAAACTTGTTCTGCTGAATAATATACTAAGTGACATATAAATCCGAACACCCAGTTTAAATGGTTTTATTTTGATAAAATTTTGTATAAGTACTTAATGAAGCATAATAAGTAAATCATAAAAATTTCAAAATGATTGCACTGCTTTAAAGCCCTTTGACCTTTAATAATGTGTGGATGCACCCTGATGTGCTACGCATTCTCGAACGCGCCTAGACATGCTTCTGATCAGGTGGTCAATGTCCTCCTGTGGTATCTCATTCCAGGCAACCACCAACTCCTCTCGAAGTGCTTCTAGAGTCTGAGGAGGACGTTGCAAATTGAGCAATCTCCTACCCATCATATCCCACACGTGCTCAATTGGGGATAAGTCGGGAGATCTTGGTGGCCATGGTAACAATGTGACATCATTATGTTGAAAGAGGTCTATTGTGACTCTTGCAACATGTGGTCGGGCATTATCTTGTTGGAAAGTTGGATCTGCCAGGGTGTCAAGATAGGGTAAAAGATGGGGTTCTAGAACTTCGTGGATATAACGCCGCGCGTTCATGTCACCTCTGATGAATATTAAAGGTGACCTGGAACCATAAGCTATAGAACCCCAAACCATAACTCCAACAGTGTGATGAACATGTCTTTCAACAAAAAACTGTGGATTCCTCCTTTCACCACGTCGCCTTCTAACCCTGGCACGGCCATCGTGCATGCCTAAACAAAATCGAGACTCGTCACTAAAGACAATTTGTTCCATTCCTGATCCCAGAGTGACCGTTGTCTGCACGACTCAAGGCGATTACGTCGGTGTTCTCGAGTTAAAGGGAGGACCCAGTGTTGGCCGGTATGAAAACAAGCCAAAACTTCTCATTCGTCGGTAAACACTTCGCATGCCAATAGGTCTTCCGTGTTCTGCAAACCATTCATTTGCAACGGACCTGCTAGTGGAGAAACGGTCCCTTAAGGCCAATAATCTTAAGCGGCGATCTTCACGGTCTGTTGTTCTACGGCGGCGTCCAGTGCCCCTTGCTCTTTGCGTATGGCCTTCTCGAAGCCATGCCTGACAACACCTAACCACAGTGTCTACACTTCTTTGCACTCTAACTGCAATTGCCCGAATAGAAAGTCCAGCTTCGCGAAGTCCCACTATACGCCCCCTATCAAACTCACTAAGTTGACGAAATCGTACAGGTCTCCGTACTCTAGGCATCGTAACCGATCGTAAAGGATGTCAGGAACCAAAATCCGCCAACGTTGATTCTTTACTGCGGCTGAAATATTCATTTTTAGAGCGTTAGTGAATTAATAAAAAGCAGTATAAAAACCGGAATGTCCAACTGATAAGGCTGAAAATTTTTTCACTTGTTACTTACAGTAAGATAAATACATTCACCAACTTTTATTAAAATAAAACCATTTAAACTGGGTGTTCGGATTTATATGTCACTTAGTATAGGAAGTGCCCTATAACTCGAGAAGGCAGGCTTCGCCATCGAAATGCGTACTCCGTTGCGCATGACGTCACTCGGTGACAACTGTTTCGCTACATGCTAAGAAATGCATTGTATTATAACGTTTTCTTTCCAATATAAAATATTTGTCTAACATTTTTTGTGACATTGATATTACATTATCTTTTTAATATTGTATAGAGTGTTTTATTTATATTTTGATATTTCTGCCAATATAATTTAATGAAGTAAACCATTATAGACCGAATGCATTGGCGTTGTAAAGTAATCGATTTTGAATATATATTGAAAATAAGGTTCTAAATATTTATGATTATAACATCTCTATAAGGTTTACTGCTTGTGAAAAAATGAATAATATACATTTTTAAGGTTTTGAAAATGTACTGTAGCTTTCCAAACTAAAATCTCTTTAGAGCTTCAAATAAAGGGACTTGTTTTTTTTTATCAAAAAGGAAGGATTTTAAATAATACCTTTATGCATCAGTAACGTACAGTAATGGACAAAAGTATATAGACAGATTAATATTGTGCTGTATTTCTTTTTTAACTTGTTTTATTAATACACCAACCTGTATACATGATACATTATAGCATAATACTCACTTATACATAAATAAATTCATTAGACTCTCTTCAATAAAAAATTAATTGAAAAAACTGGAAATCTGAAGGTCAAACATATATAGACAAAGCAAAACAATTATAGAAAAAAGAAGTAAAGTTCATTGAATTATAGAAAACCAACCATGTTTGTGTTAATATTTTGTAGCATAACCATTATTATCAATCACCGCCTGGCATCGTCTCGGCATAGATTGTAGAAGTTTCTTGATATAAGATTCATCAATCTGTCTCCACTTTTGCTCTAAAGCGGCAAAAAGTTCATCCTTTCTTGAAAAATTTTTATCTCTTATTTGCTTATCTAAGTATTCCCATAGATTTTCAATGGGGTTTATATTGGTAGACTGTGAAGGCTATTTCAGAACTGGTATTTTTTCATCCAGAAAGAATTTCTTTGCGAGATTTGAAGTGTGCTTCGGGTCATTATTTTGCTGGAAGATTGATCTTAAGGGCATATTGTCTTCCGTATAGAGTAACATGACATGCTTTAGTATGTCTGTGTATACAAACTTATCCATAATGCCATCTATTCTATGTTAAGGGCCCATCCCAAACCCCGAAAGGCACCCCCAAACCATAACAGACCCGCCTCCATGTTTGACAGTGAGCAAAGTGAACTTGGGGTTCAATATTTGTCCACTAGGACGTCTAACGTAATGAACACCATCTGATCCAAACATATTGAATTTGGATTCGTCACTGAAACATACCCTGTTCCAGTCACAGATGCTCCAATCACGATGCAACCGGGCAAATTGTAATCGGTCCTTACGGTTTTTCCTCGAGATTAGCGGCTTCTTACTCGGGCTACATGCAAGTAACTTCAAATCATTTAATCTTCCACTTATAGGTTTCGTAGAAACACTGGCAATTCCTTTTGTCTCGATTTCGGCTTTTATTTGTCTTGGGGTTTTAAATGGATCTTTGGACGAAGTGACTTTTATTAATCTAACTGATCTAGCATTTAGTTTTCTAGGCCTACCAGAGGCTTTCAAGATACCTTTTTGTTTATATTTGTTTAATATTGCCCAAACTGCTTTACGCTTCAGCTAAAAATTTTTGGCAATGTCGACTTGACGTTGACCATCTTCTGACACGAAACTGTACTAAACTAATAAAAAGAATTATTGTCCCTCATAAAAAAGTGCTTATAGTGAGACTTGTATTGTGTTCATTGCAGATAATGTAAAAACAAGGAATTTAGTTTTTCTACTAATAACGCATTTGTTTATGGAGCAATGAAGTATGAATTCGTTTTCTAAAGATATTTAGGTAAATATTCATATTTGTCTATATACTTTTGTCCATTACTGTATATCTTTATAAGTCTTTATATAATGTGTGTCTGCATACGGTTTTTTAATCTTTTGTATTAGTACCTTGTTATTGATTCGTATGCTGAGACAACCGTCAACTTTTAGCCGCTACAAAAAAATTCCTGGAAATGATCAAGTGTATCTGAAATGTGAAAAATCGAAGTTCTTTTGCCGTGTAGTCGAGGCTCTTAGTGGATCATATTCATAAACAAGCGAATAGGTCGGAGGATTCCAGAAAAGATTTAAGACTTTCAAATTAAATTAGAATGATTAAACTCGTTTTAGGAAACATGGTTTTAGTGGAAGCACCAGATATATTATTTATATTACAATTTCGCCTGTTTCGGATCGAACATTTTCATTGGCGTTATTTCCCGGAGTAAA